ATCCTACTTTGGCATGGGATACTGCGTCTATGTTTCCTTGGATTTTTCTGCCAGAAAACTTGGATTCGAAATAATTAGTATTCATAAGTTTGTAATAGTGCATCGTCAATATAACTGAAATAGAATAGGTTGGCTTTTGTATTTTAGTTCGTACTAATTGAAATACACAAGTTTATTTTTAATTAGACTTCCGTTCGTTCCAATGTGAACGAATCGTGATTGACTTCGCGTCAGAAAACTTCCCGTCTATGTGTGTGTGTGTGTGTGTGTGTGTGTGTGGCGAGAACAAACGATGCATTACTGCAGACGCAGGGCTACACGTAACATAGTAAGCTAACTCACAACTGATATTTGCGCATCAATTATATTTTTCCAATATAATACGAACAACAAAGATAATCACTGGACTGATTGCGAAATAATAAGCGTGAGAAAATATTTTTGTGACTTTTCACGCGTTGTACGTACAGTAAAAGCAGTAGAACGTATATGAAAGAAAATTAGAGAATAATGGTAAATTCGTCAAATTCAATGTAAATGCGAGCTTTGCAGAATAACTTGATTGAAAAAAAGTGCTAGGTCGCTATAATAAAGAAGGTGGAATGAAAAAAAGCAGCAGTGTTGGCTCACTGCGCCGAAGATTGCCGAACCATTGAACCCGTTTATGATCGCGCGTCAAAAATTGATCTCACTTTTGACAAAGTGGCTTTAAGCATTCGCCACCGACTGGAGAGATTGCTACATTTACCTTTCACATATCATATACTTACACATTCGCACGCACGCGCGCGTTTGAAAAAGTAGCGTCACGTGCTCGTAAAGAACTCGAATCGATTACATTGCGCGAGGCTGATGATTTATTCTACCTACAGTGTTGGACTGGAAGACTCGGAGAACGATTTGAGCCCGCCGGAGCTATTTTTACTTCATTCTTCAAGATATATTTTACAGATACACGATTTTATCGTCGTGCCTCGCATTATTCAATGTCTTTAACTTTATTTGTACCCAGCGTTATGAGTTTGATTTAACGAAATTTGATTTATAAATAAGTACCTAAGCAATGAACATTTTTCAAAGAAGCTTTCAACGCCGTGTCTTATCTGTCATCTACCTTCATTAGTTAACTAATTAAAAATGTATCGAGCAGCATGTTTTTAGTGTATGTATAGCTGATGCTGTTGCCATTATTAAAATATATCCTTCGAAAGCAATTTTTTTAAATAACGCAATAATTAAATCCTATGCTTATAAATTGTTCGAAGCACCGATCATGAAAAGTTATAAATACCTCGAAATCATCGTAAACTTGATACAATTAAAGTGAATTTTTTAATGATCTATTTTATTATTGTGAAAAATAAAAAATTTCGGAATATATGCACGAAATTGAGCCTTTTTGAACTGACCAAAAATATTTCCCCAGTCGATTCTCCGCCCTCAATCTGCATCAAGCGTAAAAACGAGCACTTATCAAGCGATAAACTTGCCCAAGATACTTTCTACTGCGGAAAATACACGTTTAATCTGTAATTTATAATACTTTTATTGGAGAGGTTCTTGAGGCCTCTGAAAGAAATTCTTCCTATCAATCAATAAACTACTTCAACAAAAATCATTTACGATCGTGGGGTTATTTGATGAATGTATCTTCCGAATATAATATTTCATAAATAGCGATTTTCAACAAGTTTAAGGTCAACAGAGAAATTCAATTATTGAAACCGAATATTAGGTTTTTGTGAACATACTTACAACTATTTATGATTTTTGGATATATATTAATTTAGTATTGGTGATAATGGTACCTTAAAAAAAGCTTCGTTCTTTTTTCCGTTATTAAATATAAAGCTGACTTCAACCTAATTATTCGTCAATAAAATAACCTGTCTAATATTGTTTAATTTAAGTAAGTTTTAATTAATCACTTTTTCAAATATTTGTTTATATGAATTATCAATTATGAGCTTTTATAAATCACAAATATTAGGAAAGTATTTATTTTACACTTGGATTTATCCGAATATTTTATTTCATCCTCACGTTTTTAATCTTAGCAATTTTTTATCCAAAGGAAACGATAGCCAAAAATGTATAACAAAAAGGTATTTACATCAGTTATAAAGAACATGAATGGATTTCTACAGCTTTTTTCGAGGACTTTTTTCAAAAATGAATTGTGGCACGTGTTATTGATTATTTTTTGACACCAATTTATTGTAATAGTTGTTTATGCAACAAGTGCGCAAAAAGTGGGCACAGGTTGCATACAAAATTGTATGCGATAGTAAGCGAAAAATACTTTCTTGAAAGTATGATATAACAAACGAAAACAAGGAATTTTACCGCACACTCGTGTCCAAAAACGTTTTTTGCGCACTAAAAAGTGACTTCGCCCTACCAGAAAGAGCGACTCATGGCTCGGAAAAGGGGATATAAATGTGAACTTTGCACAGTACTATAAAATGTTGTACAATACTCGTGCCAAAAAGTGTTACTTATGCCACTAGTATCGTAAAGTACTAGTATACAACACGTGTCCAGTTGTTTTGGCACAGTGTGCGCAAAACAAGCCACTTAGTAAGACATAATTAGTAAGGCTCATTTTTTGAATAGGCCTCGTATTCTTCTAAGGCTGGAAAAATTGATAACGCCTTAGTTTTGGCCACGTCTTATTTTCAGAAACATCACGGTAGTCATATCAATGATATATTATTTGTTTAGCAATATTTAGTTTAAGATTATTTTGTTTACTTGTGAGATTTTCTCATAAAATTAGCTGAATCTCGGAGCATATAAATGAAGTCGTTTCATTTTTAGTATGTGTTGAGAAGTTAAAATAAAGTAATTTTGAAAAAAAAAGTATACTTATATATTTTTTTTCAATTCATAGTACCTGTATATACATTTTCATAGAAACATTTTACTTTGCGTCATTCGATGGTCTAAATCCTCCTCCTCCTCACTTAAAATAATGATGGACCTGAAAGTGAAGCCAATCTATTTCGGCCTGTGATTGGTCGAGTTACTTATGCCTCGAGACGAAAAGCAATAAAGTGACACCTATGGTCAAAATAGTAACTTTCTTAAAATCCTACTGAAAAAATTATGCGCTCGAAGCGCGCCTGAAAGTTACTAGTACAGTAAAAATTCGATAATTCGAAATCTTAAATACAGGCTGTAATTTCGAATGAACGAGAATTTCGAATTAACGAAGTTTGAATCGATGAAATAAACGAGAGCCAAATTGTTAAAATTTCGAATTATAGAAAAACACAGATAATAATTAAAATAAAAAATTATTTTAGGTTGAACGGAAAACCTTTTGTTGTTTTTATAAGACTTTTTGCATAGCAAAAAATAAATCATCAGAAACTTTGTCATCACAGGACTCAATGAAATTTCTCTCTCCTTCAAACTTTTCGATTGCTCCACTGAGTGTAGGAATTATTTTACTGGTACTTTCTTCTCCTTCTTCGTCATCATCGTAAGTTGATTCCTGATTTAATTTTTATTTTTTATTTAAAATATCAGCAACTAGTTTTTGCTCAATTCTTTCTCCAAATGTTGATAAATCATCATCAACAGAAACATATTCTTCTCAATCCTAATATCTATCAACTTCTTCAACTAGGTTCTGTATAACCGGTTCAAATAAAATTGGGAAGCCAACCTTTCCGAAACAGGAAAGTAATTTATGCACAATACTTACTTGAGTATACATAGTAGTGTAATGTAAATAATTTTTCAGTCTTTCATTTGTCATTTCGAATTATCGAAGTAAATTTATATCATACCTAGACTCTAAATGCAAAATTTCATTTCGAATTATCAAAATTTCGAATTATGATATTCGAATTATCGAGGTTTGAATTATCGAAGTTTTACTGTAATTAAATATGAGATCGAAAGATGAGATCAAGAGATGGAAAGAGTGAAACAAATAAAATGAGCCGAGAATAAACCACATACATCAAGTTATCAGAGTCAAGGAAAGTTTTGAAGTGGTTTGGCATCGAAAGATCGACATTCATTAATTGCAAAAGTGGTCCATCATGTACAGCATGTATTTCATTTTCAGCTTTTCTCTTCTCTTCCATAGAAGCTTTTTTAGTGAATAAAATTTTCAAAAGTAAAAGACTCATGCAGTACGCTCATCTGGTAATTGATAAGCTATGCCAATTTCCATTCCAAGGGAATATTGCATCCGTCTGCGGAGTGAGGTTGCTCGCCTACCTCTCATTGGCCTTTTTATGATTTTCTTCACGTATTTACAGGCTTGATTAAAGCGCAATACCACCGAACACGCCAGTAACCACAGCCTTACAAATTCTGAGAGCGATGTACATTAGGAATTCTGGCATCCAGACCAGTCGCAACGCTATATAAATGATGGGTATTGGCGACGAACCTCGCACATGGCAAACATAATTTTATTACGCATATCCGTGAAATATGAATTATTTTAATCCTCAGCCTAAGATCATTGAACTTTATATATTTACTTTTAAGGCATACAATAGTATATTACTGCCCTAGGCCGCGATAAAACGATAAGTCCCAGAGTACGGGTAATTAGTGGCCGAGATTTTGTCGCGCTCCTATTTTTCATACATAGTGGCCCAAAAATCGCTCTTCCCGCTATGCGCAGCGGCTGGAAAAGTAGTCACTTTCGGGACGCTGGTATGAAAAATGTATTACACTATGGGTATATTTATTGTACAAATAAGGGATAGACATGTTCAAGTTAATTTAATCAAATGAATCAATAGTGTATGTTGTGTAACATGAATGTTAAGAAAAATTTTAAATTGTTCTATGTTTTAGACTTTAAATTTAAATTATGTTTATGAGTATAGGAATAAAAGTGATTTATTGATTCCTTTATACAAATAATTTTAGTTAGAATATTTCAATTTATTTATCTTCACACTAATTCATTTAATTTTAAAATATTTACATAATGAGAAAGAGAGCGAGCATTTGTATATGACCAATTTTATTGATAAGAATTTATTTGATAGAACTTTAAAGAAAACAAAAAACAAGGTTGCAGGTATAAAGTAAAAATTGGAATGCTCATTCACTAAATTCTAATTGATTTTTATGTACAGATTGTCATGCAGTAAATATAATCTACATTTTTAATCGCCTCCTTCTTTCTTTTCTCTAATGGCTTCCTAAAAAATAATAATAGAGTTACTATAAATAATGTATAAAACTGATTATAAGTGTTTTAGCCATTCAAAATACCTTGAATCTTTCTTCAAAAAGTGATAGTTCCGACATCAAGTCAGTGATGGCATGCATTAAAGCTTCGTGAGGAGTATAGTCCGATGTTGTTTGAATTCGAATAACAAATTTGTGTTCAAGAGGATGTGGTATCTTATACCCAGCAAATAAAACTTGAGGATCCTTTAGTAATTGACTGTAAGAAAGTATTTTATTAGTATTTGTACTTTACATTAAATTGCTTTATAATAATTACAAAAACAGAAAAAATATGATAGCTCAACTAAACTAACATTTAGACGAGCAACTAATTGTAATATCATTGCCCCACTGCATCTCCAAGTCTCTTTGAGCTCAGAAGCAAAAAGGTATTTATGTCCTATATTATAAAGAAGTTAGCATCTTTGCGCTTTTGAGTTTATTCAGATACCTTTTTGCTTTGGGGCAAAGATATAATCATTCAAATAATCAATTGTTTACTGGTATTTTCTATTTTGTCCATTAACCTATCAACTAATCACCTACCAAACTATTGGTTTGGTTACCATAGTTAAGAAATAAATATAGTTTTTTTTATGAAAACCAGAACATAAAAGTAACTCAAGTTTTTATTCAGCTTTAACCTACTTTCTAATCATGTTTCCAAGTGTATGATCCTCTTTGTGTATAGTGAAAATAGCAGCATTTGGAACTTTGGAGTCCAATTCTTTCTCTATTCTGAAAATTTTAAAATAAGAAAGTTATGAATTATTAAATTATCATAAGAATGTTTAGTGATCAAGGGAACACAATTATTTTATGTTGGAAAAATATAAATCAAGTAATGAAATTAAAAAAGTATAGTATAGTATAGAGTGCTAAAAAGTTCAAAGTTAGGTTAACGAGTTTAAATAAGAAAAGCAAACTCACTTCTTTTCTCCTTCGTAGAGCAAAAACGATTCAAATGTAGGTGGTGCGTTCATCTTTTTGTTTTATATTTTGCAGTAGAGTAACACTAGAAAACAAAGTGAAAAGTGACAGCTACAACTTTAACCAAACCAAGTACAGTATTTTTAAGTTGTATATGTTTGGACTGCGTCATGTGCACTAGTATGAAGTATGTACAAGCAGCAGTGCCGGTATTTTTATGTACTAAGCTGCCATCTATTGTCATTCATTGTCACCATTTTATGATTAGCGCTTCTATACAAAAGCGTCAATTTTTAAATTTCATGTTTTGTTTTATTACATGTTGAATGGATAGAAAATTTGTTTTATAAAAATATGGGCATGCTTTCAGATTCTTAAAATAAACAGAAAATGATGAATATTTTGATATTTTTGGATAAACACTCAACCGATGTGTCCAATGAATTTCTCAGAAAAAATCATACTAGAAACAATAATGGCTTTACCTGAGAAAAATAAATTGGGCGGTTTGATTAAAATGGCTCTACCAGTTTTGTAAAAAATTGTGTATTAATTATCTGAAATTTAAATAAATTGAAGTTACAGGGTAGAACTTTCGAATAGTGCAAACTTATAGGTCATTGACAACATTTTCAAGAAAACCCCGAATGAAAGAGGGAGACAGTTTGTCGCTAAAATAACAAATGAGCTTTCAAAAAAGTTTTTAAAAAAATTGGATAACGAATAAAAATCAAAAGCTATTATAAGCATAAATTACCAAAGGTGGTTGCCAAATCTCGGAGATTATAATATGTATTAAATCAATTGATACTTGCTTACTTTTCTAATATTTTATATGTTCAAATAGGATTAACCAATAAAAGTCAAGAAAAAAAAATTTAACATGTATCAACAAGAAAATCATCGGTACAGAAAAATTAATTCCCTAATTTATCAACACTCTCGGGCCGATGATAGCCGCTAGAGCCGCCCCAAGGAAGTGGTGTACTTTAAAATGTATGTTACACTAGATACCTCACTACCTTTGCATGAACTAATTATATAAAAAGATAAAACGCTCTTCTGATCTATAATAACCAAGGGTAAATAGAATGCGCATAGATGAGCCTCGTGAAGTCCCTGTAGAAAAAAAATATTTTGAAAAGTCCGACTTTTAGATGTGAACATCCTATGAGGAGGATCTCAAACATTGTGGACCTGTTGACTGTATGATCCGTGAAGAGAGAGGTACTCTGGTGCGATCCGTAGAGCTTGCACGCAGATCAACCAATTATTAATATTTAAAACTTATTAGCAGAGCCGTACGTACGGGCTTGTGTGACTTTCCTCCGTTTTTCAAAAGAGTGCGCGATACAAGTATACATTTTTACTTGTATTTTATGAATAAGTATCATTCAGGCACATTTTAGTTTTGCACTTTAATTTCGATGCACAAAAATATATTTTATAATTTAACACAAAATAAAGATAATTCGAATTAAATTTCTTAATCCATTAAATTCTTTTTATTTTGTTTTTAATAATTATAAATATTTTCCTTGCGCATAAGTAATTATATAATGGATCCCTAAAATGAATTTGAGAATTAGGTGGGTACTTGATTCAATCTTCTCTATAGCGATAAAATTGAAATAATGTGAAATATTAATTGAATCGACGTGAAAAGCCCGGGCGAGAATTTTTCTTCGTCAATGTCAAAAATCGTAGGCGAGCAGGCTACAACTGTTAAGCGAGTACCGATCGAAGCGTCCGACATCGGAATTGCAAAACGTGCGTGGAGTCTGCGCTGTAAAAGCTTTAAAAATTTATTGAATATCGATGAAGGAACTAATTCTAAACTCGACGCATGTATTTGTTTTATTAACAAATAGCATTAGCTGCTGCAGCAGACATTAAATATTTTTCGAAGCCTCTGCGGTAGTCGATGGTTATTGAAGGGAAAACATGTTGCCCGTTATATGCCATCTTCCGAAGTGCCTTGCGAATCTCATACTTACATAAAAGAGAGCCAGAGAAAGAGAGAGAGGGACAATGGACGTATCGCAAAAAAGCATAACGAGCGTAAGTGCTCTTGTGCACGTTTACACGTGCAGCAATGATTTGCTATGGTTACTGGATGAGCTGCCGAGAAAACGGCTGCAGTGCACGAGCGCCTGCAGCCGGAGCGTACAAGGACGACTGGAGCAGTCGAACAGTACGGCAAAGGGGAGAGGAGGAGGAGGAGGAGGAGGGGAAAGGGGATGAGCGGGTGAGCAGGAGCTGCTCCTATAACTCGGCCGTGCCGTTACAACGAGAGAAGCTCTTCATCGCGAGCTTGAGAGAGCTTGCGGCATGTGACGCACAATAGCGAGCTGCGCTGTATGTTGCGTACAGCCCGACCGTCAGTTCGACCAGACCAGTGCAGCACGTCGCGGAGGGAGAGCCCCGATGGAGGCTTTTGCATCGACGGTGAAGGTCGCGACCCGCATCCCATCAGGGTCGTCGTTGTTCTCAATGTCAGCCCTCGAGTGCCAGTCGACTCATATTCGCACAACTCGAGCCTTCGATATTTAATCCTGATGCGAAACTCGCCCTCCACAATCTAAGAGATGCGATGAAAAATATATTTCCTGTACGCTCTTATACTTATGCTCTGCGGATATATCCCTTCATACTTTGGTTACTTGGGTTACTTATTAACAACGGCACATTTAGCCTCGCGCGTTATTTTGACGCGCCAAACGTAATGAGTGACGTCAAGCCGGTGAGAAAAACGCACGACTCGTCCGTTCGTCCGTATAACTATTGACCGGCAGAAGAGTCGTATATAACGCGGAGGGAGCCGGTCCGAGCCACAATATTCTCTGACGGACTAGCGCCACTGACAAAACAATACAACCACTGTTAATCTCCATTTTTCTCTTCTACGTTGAGTAAAGCAGAAAACATGACCATGAACTTTCCATCTTTTTTCAATGTGCAAAACAGTTTAGGAATTTAAACTTTGGCCGAATGCAATTTACTCACATCATTTCATTTTTAACTTTATGGACAAGATTCCGAGTCATCAGGTACGAATAAAATTCGTAAGTAGCGTTATTGATGATCAAAACTGATCAACGTTATCTTATAAGTTATCATTGCATAAATGCGCACGACGTACTACACTCGAACTCTGATTTGCTACGAATAAGTTTATTGAAAAAGTTTGTGTGATTACCTTAGGTGCATGGAGAGCTACAGTACAATGACCAAGTCCTGGTGAACTTTATCATTACAGAGCATTGTTTTTCTATGCAATGTATCGCGATCAAATTCTTAACAAATAAATTAAACAATCGTAAAGATAATAGATCTATCCAATGGTTAAATGTGCTGATCAGTAACGATGATAGAAATAGTAGAATATTTATCATGTTCAAAAAATAATGGGGATGCAGAGCGCCATAAAGGAGCAGTCGTACCTGGCTCGATTATCGCTAAACATGTAAGTGCGTATTTTCATCTGGCCGGGCGTTCGAGTATATATACCATTTATTCGTATAATTTGTTGAGCTACACAGTCATAATACCCAAGTGACGGTCGTTTCTCGTCTCGGCAAGGACGTATCCCTGCAGGTTCTTTCTCGTTAATGCGTCCCTCGTGCGGGTTGGCCGAGCGGCGCCTCTCGTCTGCTCTCTTTCTCTCGCTCTCTCTCTCACTCTCGCGCGCGCGACGGTCGCCTGACGACGTGTCTCACGCGCGAGCATGAAAAAAGGAAGCGATATCGCGCTCCGATCAGTATCTCGCTAGCCTGCGTTAAGCGCAGATTCGACTTACGCGAAAGCTTAATATAGCCTATACGATCATAAACGTATACAACTTGCCGAGTTCGGGATATACGCGCAATTGTTATTGTTTGAGTGAATACCGCATCATCATCACCGATTGTTATACGCAGCCTACGTTACACGCTGCACCTCGCTGGCTTATCTTTTGTTTAAACAGTCGGCCTCGCGAGTGCACGCAATCCGTACACATATTCTCAGGCAATCGCCAGCAACACGAATAACGACTCTTTCGCAGTCTCTCTCTTTTCTTCTGCACAACCATCGGACTATCCCGCCGTCGACTGTAGTGTTCTGTACCGTACATATTGTATACACAGATATATGTACACACATAGGTCTACAGTAGACATTTAGTGCGCCGTTAGACACGGCTTCAGTGGACTGCAGTGCATCGTACACGTATACATCGAGACGTCGCCGTAACTGCACTCGCTTATGCAGACTTGCGACTTGCGAGCCTCTGCAACTCAAAACGCTCGTTGCAGCTCGCACATACACACACACACACACACACACGCACGCACGCATACGCTGCACAGGGGGCTATTGCCTGCTAGCTACCGAGGCGTAAGACAAGGTTGACGGTGCCAAGTGGAGGCTCAACAGTCCGATCAGCAGCCGCGATTCAGCGGTGGCAACGGTGAAGAAGCTCGCAGCTCTCGTGACTGTGACTGTGTCTGCGCGCGGATGTTTTTGCTGCAGTGATCGCTAATTCGTTCGCTTGACTGCACGAGTCACCCGTCAACATTTGTTCTTACCCCATCTCGGATTCTGCTCCGTCTTCGTTGCGACTTGTACAGAGATCCTAGATACTTGTCTGCGCGTGTCTAGTACTCTTGTCGATTCCTCAATTATCAGATAATTTAATCATGGAAATGGCGGATGCCATGAACGAAGAAGGAGCAGCTGCCGCTGCGACTGTCCAGCAACAGCAGCAGCCAAATCCATTGGCACAGGCATCAGTGGCCACGGCAGCCGCTCAACCACAACAACCGCCACCTAATGCCGAGATCGTTCGCGGACAGATTTTCGAGGTTGGCCCCAGATACACGAATCTGGCCTACATGGGCGAAGGGGCGTATGGCATGGTCGTGTAAGTATGTTTATGACGTGCATCCTGTCAATGGTATTTACACTTTTCATCCATTGCATGTCGCAATCGTACGTTTGGTCCTACCTAGACATATAATCAAGCATGAACGCGTCTCATCCAAGTGCTCGCATCGACTATATATATGCGCACACCTATATGTAAATATAATATACCTATATCTACTGCTGTATTGCGAGGACGGCTAGTGCTATGACGTCTTTCTCGTGCGCGCCAGTCTGCTCGCCCCATCTCACTCGCACTCTCTACTTTTTGCATACAAGAGCTGTATATGTTTGTGCGGGAGTGACCGTGAAAGGGGTGCGAGATTTCTCTTAATGTATACATCTACGCATCTCATTTAAAACTTTGAGTCAGCTCTTTAATCCTTTGTCATCACATAATCATTCTTATTTTTTTATTAATTCTCTCGCATTTGATCAAGTGTTGCATGATTTTGCATTAAATTTTTCCAACATTTTTTATAAATAATATTTTTTTCATTCCTTAAATATGTTGACCAATTATGAATTAATCTGTTTTTTAGCTCAGCTTATGACAATGTAACACATACTAAAGTAGCAATCAAAAAAATTTCACCATTTGAGCATCAAACTTATAGCCAAAGGACACTGAGGGAAATTAAAATTCTCACCAGGTTTAAACACGAAAATGTGAGTTGAAGCTTCTATAATTTTTTTTTTTTTTTTTTAACTTGAAGTTGTAAAATACATTAATACTTTTACAGATAATAGATATAAGAGATATTTTAAGAGCTCCAAGTATAGATCAAATGAAAGATGTATATATTGTTCAATGTTTGATGGAAACGGATCTGTACAAATTGCTCAAAACACAAGTAAGAAAAACTAATTAATATACTTTTTTGTCTTAAAATTGTGTTAAGTAATATTTAATTTGACAGGCCATCAGTAATGATCACATTTGCTACTTCTTGTATCAAATTTTACGAGGATTAAAATACATTCATTCTGCAAATGTATTACACAGAGACCTGAAACCTAGTAATTTGCTTTTGAATACCACATGTGACCTTAAAATTTGTGATTTTGGTTTGGCCAGGGTTGCTGATCCAACCCACAATCATGCTGGTTTCCTTACTGAATATGTAGCTACAAGATGGTATAGAGCACCTGAAATTATGTTGAATTCTAAAGTAAATGTCTAAAACAATTTATAATCATGAGATTGTACTGCAAAAACCTATCATTCCAATATTTTTCAGGGTTATACTAAATCTATAGATATATGGTCAGTAGGCTGCATTCTTGCAGAAATGTTATCCAGAAGAGCTATTTTTCCTGGAAAACATTATTTGGATCAACTTAATCATATTCTTGGAGTTCTTGGTTCCCCTTCACCTGAGGATCTTGATTACATAATAAATAAAAAAGCTCGTAATTATTTACAATCGCTACCCTACAAACCAAAGCTTCCATGGACAAGTTTATTTCCAGACGCAGATCCTAAAGCACTTGACCTGTTAGATAAAATGTTAACCTTTAATCCTAACAAGCGTATAACAGTTGAAGAAGCATTAGCACATCCTTATTTGGAACAGTATTATGATCCAGCTGACGAGGTATGTGCCAAAATTTATTCTATTACACTTTACAATATTCTAGAATATCAATAACATTATTGTTTCCATAGCCTGTAGCAGAAGAACCATTCAGATTTGAGATGGAGCTGGATTACCTTCCAAAGGAATCACTGAGGCAGTTAATATTTGAAGAGACTTTGCTATTTCAACAAAATCACATGGAAAATACGATATAATAAGTAAATGTTACAAAATTATGTTTTTGATCAATTATTGTGTTTATCCAAGTTTCCTTCATTAATTCAGGACGACTGAAAGAGTTGATACAAAAGCAAGATCATGAAAATTACAGTGTATCCATAATATTTCTCTACCAGCTATAAATATAAAAAAAATTAAAGTCGCTTTTGCAAGAAGCATCAAAAGTGCAATCAATAAATGCAATTTATTCATTTGTGGATTATTTAAGTCTAACAAACCAGTGATGTTATCAATTCAAAGAGTGCATATTTTAATTTGTATACAATTGAATACAATCGGTTCTATGACTTTGTAATAATTTTGTAGTACTTTTTAAAAGTTTATTTCACTGCAGTCGTATGATGTCTGTGATTTAAATACTGAAAAACAGTACAATTTGTATTGTATCTTTTCATAAATGAAATTTTTCAAAAATGATCATTTTATGAAACTTACCTGTCTTGAGTTTAAGGTCATGATTTCTGAATGATAATGAAAATAAAAAAAATCATGATCTCAAAACTTGATTTTAAAAGCATATTTCTTCAATAATACTTTTTACCAAGTCATGGTGTTTTAAAAGTCTATTTTCTGTATATTGAAATACATTTTAAATGCCAAAGTAAGATAGAATGTCAATTTATATATACATATATAACATTATTTTTTTAGTAGAATACCATGTTCTCAAGTAAATCTGTGTACTCGTGGAGATTTATAAACAAGTACTTCTATAATGCAAGTATTTATATGAAAAGTAATAATTCAAGTGTGACAAGTTCTTATGTATGTTGTGGAAAAATTTTTGGATAAAATTATGAGTCTTGAAAACTTCAGTGTTGAAATATCCGTAAAAGATTTAAAAAATAGGATTGTAAAATTAGAGATCGTTTTCATCAAATATTTATAGTATATATCTAAAATGTTGTAATAAATACAATTTTGAAGCATTGCTTTAATTATAATTATTAAAAAAGTCAATTCATTTCAATGTAGACTTTCAATGGCAAAGTTAAATATTTACTAAATTCATACAATTATTTTTCATGCAATGATCATAATTTACTTTTTTTATATTTAAAATTTACTAATTTTCATCATCGCCCAATACTGCCATCATTGTGCATCTAATGCACTTAGTGTATCATACAATAAATAATTAATTATATTTAGAGTGTAAAAATGTTTTAAACATTTACTCTGAATGGCATACATTGATATTAATGTTAAAGTAAAAAATATCTCATAAAAACTAATATTGTGTACAGATTTATCAACTGTTTTAATTGCACACTGTATAAAGTATTTTGTGTGTTGTTACTATAATAATATTTTCTCAAACTAACATGATACTATTTTGAAGTAAATAAATCTTGAATGAAATTTTTTGAAATCTCTTGAAATAGTTGACAATCAGAATTGTAGTACATCATCAATTAGAGAATTTGATTTTTTTTAATATTTTCATATAATTTACAAAAAAACTGTTATAATAAGAAGCAAAATCATTTTAATTGCCTTAAAAATGTATGTATTTCTCATGCACCTTTAATAAATCTATAAGTTTCTTATTTTAAAATTTAAAAAAATATTATATCTCATTTTGAGCTTTAATTTGCCACTGAAAGCCTATAAGAGTCATCGCCATATTATTGACATAAAGCAATAGTGATGGAGAAAGTTCAGCAACGAATTTAACTTTCATTGTATCTCTGACATTGAATCCTTAACAGAATCCGATTTTATCTTACTGTTCGTAACGATTATGGAATACAATATTAAATATCTACATTAATGAAAAGAAATTAATAGTTGGCACAACAAAAGAACACTTGTACTCATCTGCATGTTCAGGGAAATGTATATTGGATTATTGTAAAAACTCAAATTGTTTCAGAAAGTATCATTTTTCAGTAGGTCAAGAATTCAAATCAACATTGGCGACACTAATAAAATAATGCTTTTTGTATAAGCCATCAATAAAATTGGAAAATCTTATAAAAAAAAGAAAAAAAATACTCTCAAATAAATTGTTATTTTTAAAATGTAATAAATTTCTACAAACAACCTATGCTTGAAATTTTTTAATCTATCTGATTTAATATACTTAAATTTAAAGTCTATCAAAATATTGATAAATGAGAATTTAAATGCAATTTTCTAACTTAGAGTCAGGCCTAATTTAGACTATTAAATCTTTTGCTAAATTCAATCAAGTATAAAAAATAATCATAAGAAGTTCATGCTTAATGATAAACTTAAATCATAAATGTGTGATTAATGTGTTATTATAATGCTACTGAAAATTGAATTATAGTAAAATGAGTATATAAATGATGAATATAACAAATACAAATGCAACATCATTGCCTTCCAATTTTTAGTATACACTGAAATGTACAAGGAAAAAAGAAAATATATCCAAAATTAAGTTCATGCAAAATTAGGAAAATAGAATCATCTTATCGAGTTTTATTAAGACTTGATCGATTTTTACCTTCTGAATGGTTAAAATTTTTTCAGTACTATAATGTATGATGTTATGCAATGACTCAAGTTCAGATTATAATTAACAATTGGTTTATGACAAGCAAATCATTTTATAGCTAATAAGTTCATTTATAAAAAGTTAAAATGCACACATAAAAATTTGCCTAGTATTTAATGCATAAATTGTATCTATGATTTACTAATCAATTGATGTTTGATGAATGTGAATTGATTATTTGTGTTCCTATCATTCAACTTGACTTAACCATTTAATAGATAGTAAAATTAAAATATAATTGTCAATAAACTTCATTACTCAAGATTGAATCTAAAAATGTGTGTACTTCTTGATGTACAAAGAAAATGTTAAGTAATATGAATTCAAATTATTACTCAGAAATTCTAAATGAAAAATAATTTAGAAATTGTAATGCCTGTACACTGTTCCATGTTGGTAGAATTTTATATAGGCTTGAAATCAAGCTGCCAATATTTTGAAATTGTTATTACTGATGAATAGTTATGATTAATAATCCACACCCTTACCACATGAAATACAAAAGAGAGGATTCATGAAAAAAAACAATTGTAAAATCTGAAAATGTATACTTAAAATCTTATTTTTTCATTTCAGCTATGTACTAATATAAATTAGTATACATAATAAAGTACAAATACTTTTTAATATCATTCAAATTTACAGGATGCCATTCTTAATTACTATTTTTACATAAATATTTCTATTTCTATGTATTTACAAAAACGTACACTGCAACTCAATTTGACGCTATAAATATTTGCGGTAACATGAAAATGTTTTTAGAAGATAATGTTTAAAAAATAAAGAATTCCTAAAAAATCTTTCGATAGTTAAAATTTAATTCAATAAAGTAATAGTGTAAAAACATTCACAATTTTTATGCATTCTTAAACCTGAATGAAACATAAGACATAAGGCATGATCAAATTATGTTATCCAAAGTTTTATTTTTCATACACTTTATACTTAACAATTGATAAGTAAATATCTGTATGCACTATGCACTAACATAAATATTTAAAAAAACTTATTTATGAAATTTTGTCAATTATTTTTTTGTAACTGTCGCAGTGACTAAAAGCAGCCCTAAATAAACTTAACAAATAGATACAGCCTTAAGTTTTTGAAATTGGTTACTTATGAAACTTATGTATGAACTTATTTATTTGTTGAATTTGTTCAATTTTTAATTTAATTCGAATCGCGATGGCGCGCTGAATACTTGTCGTTCCTCAACTCTATCCTTAATGGTGATCGATTTCTTTTGTTGTTGACTCCAATACGTAATCTCAAATCAGTTTTTGGCAATCGGTGTCGCAAATCTTGAGATGTAGATATATATTTTGGACTACCTTTTCTCTTTTCTCTTTGATAATTTTTCTTTTGATGAATAGGATTTCTTGATTTCTTATAACTTTTGTAACTACTTTCAGGAGGACTTAGTCTATTTAAAACTGATGATACTGTAGATTGTAATCTTGGCTTTTGTGATATTTTTTTAATAACACTTCCTTTTGAACCTTGTACTTCTTTTTCTATACAAGATTCACTAGAATGTGAATAACTATTCGAATCTGAATCGGAATATGTTGCTTCATCTTCTGATATATTTTTTTCTGTTTCTATTTTTATTTCATCATCATTATCATCATATTCTTCAGTAGTGTCTTCATCAGAATCATCAATGATCTCTCCATCTTCTTCAACTTCTTCAATGATTGGATTTCTTTCTATTTCATCGTCATCCTCTTCATCCTCGGTTAAAATAACATTATTAAAATTACTCTTTATAGCAATTGGGTTTGCAACAATCACTTGAATTGGTTCTTGTTGTGTAAGTGGTTGCTTACGCTTGGCTATCAATTTTTTCCTAAGATCTTTATTTGGTGATATTGGTGATATAATCTCACTAACATATGATGTTCTGTGATTTCTTTTTTGCCCTATCCTCATGTGAACTTTTTTTTCTTCATCATCAGCATGCATTCGCATTCTAGGGAATTTATTTCTGACATGCCAATCTTCTTCATCACTTACTGAACCATCTGATTGACTTGTTTCATTAAATTTGATGTAAGGTTTTGTAATTGAAGGCGATATTGCGTACCTATCATCGTAGCTACTTTTATATCTATTACAATACTCATCATCACCATTTTCATTATTTGAGTTATCATACTCATCCTCTTGGTATTCTTCATCATCAGATAGAATAATCACATTAGGATTATATCCATCATTGTAACCCCTTTTTCTTTTAATACCGAGTCTCTCTCTTACATTAGTTTCAGGAAACGACTTTGGCAAATAGTCATCCTCAACGAAATCGGTTACCCCCCAATTTTCTGAAAGTGTACCCCATGGATTTTTAGTGGCAGCTCCATTTTTAGGAATTGAAGTTTGTGAGATTTCCATTTTGGGAGAATCCTCGGTTGATGGTACACTAGCAGTTTGAATATTCTCTCTTTCCTCCCTTAGACGGCGTTTTCTAGATGATGACACAATTCCTTTATCTTGTCTTTCATACTGGCTTTTATACCCAGCCATTTGCTTAGCATGAATTAGTTGCTTATCTGAAAGTGTTGCAAAGCGTAAAAATATATTTCTGGACTCCATGTAATTCTGCCCTTTTCTCCAAATACCATTGGGTAATGGGCAACGAATATCTTTGATATGCACTACATTATCATCTCTTTTAAGTTTTCCATTGACAATAAGTTCATCTGGATCTTCTTCAGAATCTGCATCAGATAATCCTTTATGATACTCGTTTTTTATTCCTTCTATCTTTTTTGAGAGTCCTAATAAAGCTCGAGCTGCAGACATATCGTCTAACCAAATAACATTACATGATATTTTACTTATTCTTTCAACAGAAGCAGGTGCATAATCTTCAAAGTACTTGAAAATATCTTTGGTTGTCATATTTTCAATGCCTCGCATATGTAAAGCATTTAGTTGAAAGTTCTTGGCACTCTCACTGTGTTTGTCGATTCCAAAACTAAAAATATATAGAAGATATGAGATATTATTTCATAAAACTTAAGAAGCATAGAAATGTATTAAAATGTTTTACAAACACAAACTAACCTGACATATAAATTTTCAGCATCATTTGAAATACTTTTTTCAGTCCCTTGTGAAATACCAAATCGTTTAGCTCGTTTGTCTGCTTTAAATTTGGCTTCTTTGCTGAAAATATCTACACCAGTTACAAACATATTTGACTTTTTTGTGTCCACATGCTCAATTTTAGATTCCTATAAAAATATGAAAATTTTAGAATGAAACATAACCTAACTTTTTTTTTTTAAATATTGAAAAAATAATTCAAAAGGAAACAAAAACTTACTACGATATTTGGTATCTTTGTTCGACTAACGCGGTGCGACTCCTCGCATTCGCCGTCTTCGAGGAGATTATCAAAGTCATTGAGGCTATCCATTTCATCAAAATCCATTGGTTCACCCATTTTTGTTTTAGATTTGTTAAAATTGAAAAAAGAATCTGAAGTAGATCTCGAATGATTTATGTTTCAAGCCCAGAGTATGTTTATATCAATCAAAAATCACCAAACAATATTTCTTATTGCACAAATACGTACAAAAACGTTAAAAATAATAACTAATCAACGAGTTTGCTAGTTTATTTGAAATTAAACTTTCGAATATGCATCTATGTACGTTTGAGAGCACGAGAAATCACTGTATTCAATAGGTTATGTTGCTCACTTAAGACAACAGTAAAGTATCACAATAATCACGATAACAAAGTTGCAACAAATAATAAAGTCAAGATGGTTAGAGACAGCTTCCGTATTTATCACAAAATGACCTATATGAAATGAACAATATAGTCACCGACGAATTAACGACTCGCTGTTTAGTTCACCGAATCTACTCAAACTTATTTACTGCTTTCGTTCTAGAGTTGGTGATAGTTCTTACTAGTATGACTGCTAGTAAGATACTGACCTCGACTACGAGATTCGAGTAGCAGCGTTGGGAAGAGCACGTCTACATGTAGACTCGTGCACACTGCACGCAGCACGAGTATACTTTCTCGAGCCTGCGCAGTTGCTCTGACGCGTCAATTCGCCCGTTGCCGACGGTCGAGCGAGCCAAGCGTCGAAGTTTGAATTACGCTCGAGCCTACTTTGTACTACTTACTATAAATAATAGACGCATTTTGCATGCAGTAACTGACCGACACCTAATTAATGACCATTTTGTATGTATATAAGTTTTTTAACTGTTTTATAGCGATTAGCGATTAAGGCGTTTCCAGATTGTCACGAAATGGTCACTTTACTGATTTGTTTCTTTATAATTCCTCCAGGCAAATCAATTAAGAGATCATTTCGTGACAATCTGAAAATGCCCTATTGCTGTACGTAACATGGAACAAGTATTAATTATTTTATGTTCAAAAGAGGTTTATTTACTGGTCGAAAAAGGTCAATTACTCGAAAAAGTAGCATGCAAGCCACAAGTGGTCCGACCATCAAAAAATTTAAAAAGATATTTAAAAAGTCAATAAGACTGTTCTCGACGCCCGTGTAACCGTCAGTGTCAGTTGCATTTTTCAAAATACAATTCAAACTGCTAATTTTATTGATATTTTTTTTACACCTGTTTTTTTTACAACTTGTTCTTTTCTCAATTGAAAAATATTACTATCATTAGAATTTTAAATGTTGGTAAACTTATCAAAACTGATTCTTTTCCAGATTGAAGAGATTAAAAAGTTTTCAATATTCGTAAATGTTAACAAGATTAAGTTTTATCGAGTTAGTATATAGCTATAAACGCAAATCGTTGATTTTCGCTCGGATTTTCTCAACTTATTTAATGATAGAAACAATTTGCTATATATTTACGTTTTCTGAACTTTTGTTTTTTTATGGAATTGAAACAAAAAAAATATAAAAATTATTGCATATGCAATATATATTATGTTTTTAAGGATGCTCATTCAAATTATGTATTTGAAATGTTTAATTTAACTATTTATCCTCGAAAATTACAAGTTTTTAAAAAAAATGAGATTCCTTTCTTTTTCTCTTTTTAAGGAGGCTCGATCGAAAACGTAATTCATTTACCATCCTCGTGAAATTTCAACACATGTTAGTTATTGTGGTAACAAATTCATTGGTAAAAAAAAAGTATGGGTTGCCGAACAAATGCGAGAGATAATCACATTCAAAGTTTAAGGTGGTTCTTTCAATATTTGTTGAGACATGAGACCTATCCTATCTTATAGATTAAATCACGCTGAATTCAATGGTATAATTATTTATGGGGCTTACGCTGCAAAATTTCGAGATATTTTATCTCAAAGTATGCTATTTTAACATGGGAAGCATAGAACGGCCACCATCCATATGGTATTTCTAATCAAAAATTAATTTGTTCGGGTATCGGAGTGTATAGGTTTTATAGAAAAAACTCTAATCTTCCAGCCTGTGTATCGTAAAACAGGGCTTACGCTGCAAAAAATCAAGATTTTTCACGTAAAAGTGAAAAAAACGATGTTTTTGCTATAAATCAGCTGATGTCAGGCTGCGCAGTACTTACTGCGCATACAAAATATACAGCTCTAGGCAAGAGTTCACTATAGAAAAACTTAAACTGAAAGAACCACCTTAACACATTTAACATGGGCTCTTATGAGGAATTGCAGTCTTTCGTCCACCATAAGCTTCAAACATTTACCATCTTATTGAAATTTATATCATTGAAAGTAAATTTTATAAGCTCCCCAATGATATAATTATCAATGGGGGTCGCCGAGCATTTTCGAAAGATATGAAGGGTTGAAACGTTACGTTGAACGGCTGAACTGAACTATACGTTGTGACATGACACATGACGCAAGCGTAATGACGGTAATTCAAATCATTCATAAAATAGCAGCTCGTAAATATTTTTTATAAATAATAATCAATGTATTTCAGTAGTTATATTTTATTTCGTTTTGCATATTCCTAAATTTTTTATCATTTTTAAAATTATTTATAATTTAAAGCCATTATTATTATTACTATTTAAATTGAATTAAATCATAAGATTAGAAAAATATTACAACAAAATTGTTCACATATGAGTTCAAATATTGTTTACATATGAAGTACCCTATTGGGGATTGGTAGCCATTCAAACTACATTAAATCGAAAGTGATTCATGCTCGCCATTTGATAAACACATAGTGGCCTTCAATTCTGTCGGGTGGAACGCCGGAATTTCCTATGCTCATATGTACACGTTCTGAACTTCCATCACTCTGTTCTAGTGTTCGGCGATACTAAAAAAAGTATCGATATCGATGAGTATCGAATAATCGGTAATTCAAAAACATCGACATCGAATAATCAATTATTTTTCAAAAGTATCGTGTGGTATCGATTAATCGAATATTTTTTTTAAATAATTTTTTTTTATCACTCCATAAAATTTTAGGTGAAATGATATGCTTTATTAAATAATTTATCAATTTTTATTAATCATTTTTTAAAAGTGCTTTATTGAATACTTTATTAAAAAGTAAATTGAACATTTCCAATTTTTTACATTTATTTTAATGTATGCATTTACATTTAATGTAGAAAAAATTAAATAAATGTATGAAATATTTAAATTAAACAACATAAATCATTTATTTAGATAGGAAAAAAGGTTTTTTTACCGAGTTAAAATGTCACCCAATCTTCCAACTCACAGGAATGTAAAAAAACGATCATGTTCAAAGTTTCTGGATTCCAGCGATTTCGAATTTTACTTTTTTGCAATCCTGCTTGAGAAAATAAACGTTCTGATGAGACCGATTTGCTAACCCAGCAACATATTTGACGGCCAAAGGGGCTAGATTTGGAAAAGCTTCTCTCTTTTTTTCCCACAATTTTATGGGATCTTCATCAATTTATAGAATTGGACAAGCTTTGCGTAAGCGCAACGCAAAATAAAAATTTCCTCGATACTTGTTGAAAAAAAATTGCGGTATTCGATAAATCGAGACTAAAGGCTAAAAAAAGTATCAAGCAATGTTTGGCTAAAAAAAGTATCGAGCCTTCATAATACTATTATATCGAATAGTATCGCCGAACACTACTCTGTTCTAGCCGTCAGAATTATTGCGTACTATGAATTTCGTATGTATTTCAATAGTTGTCATTCATATCTGCGAGGATCTGAGTAAATATTTTTCTTACTATAGAGGTCATTATCAAATAAATGAAAAAATGATTAGGAAGTATTGAAAAAAATTGTTCATAATTTTTCTTTATGATTCAAATTTGAATTATAAAGAAGCCAATTATTGATGCAATAGAACTTACAATTGTAGAATATTCATTGCCGGGTTCTTTGATTATATTTCTAAACTATGAATAGTATAATATATCATCGGGGAACGTACTTATGGCATGAAGTATTAGAAATTAAATAAAATTGATAAATACATGAGATACACTATAATTTATTCCGTAAGATCTTTATTTTAGTTATTAATGATGACCAACTGTTATTAAGTGTGTATTGTACATTGAACGATCCAATAAAGACACGATTGCATATTGTAAGTAAATATATGACATGCGTAAATGGTAAATTTATTAATACGCGGTCAACAATTACTGGCGACTTTTTTCATTCAGCTATGGGCGTTCTACACGATAGACAATGAAAAAGTTAGGTGAGTTGTTTGCTCCACTGGCCGCGAGCGCCAGCACTTGTCAAGTTGCCTCGTCCGAATAACTCGACAGCCACTCGCGGCTCTCGCGCATGCTGAACGTACCTAACCTGCTCTCGTAGCGATATAGCTCGGCTAACAAGCTCAATAGCTCAATGGCCGTCCATCGCTGAGCTACCTCTATATCATCCGAGTCTCGCTCTTAAACATATCTTTTGCATCAGTATTAATAAAAAACATCGACATTGTTGCTCGAGTCAAATTCTTACATTAGATGCACACATATTTGGGAAAAATATTCCATAGAGGATTGACAGACGAGCGGATTAAAAATAATTTTTAATGATAAAAAGCATAAATGAATGAAAGCCTTGCAACGTAATAGTAACATGGCTGTTCGCGTGTCGCTGGAATCATAACTTCTCTGATTATTTTTCGACTTCAAGTAGCTCAAGTCACATTGAGTATTTGCATTTGGAGCTAGAGCATCGGTTTTCATTGAAGTTAGGTTTAGAATCAGCGACGGCCGGAATCTTGATTCCTGTGCCCTGCGATGTCCGCAGCATATTGAACAAAAAGAAATTAGAGCTCATTGATACGCCGTATATAGAAGCAGTCAACCAAGGTCAATTTTTCAAGAAATCAACAACTCAACGAAAAAACCGACGTGCCTCCAGCGTGTCAACATTTTCGATGCGGACTTTGACGTTGAGAAGATCTCGTTATCAGTACCGCCTCCATCCTTACCTCTCGTCCAAGGTACTCATCGTAAGTGTTGAATTTTGTTTTTATAAATATTCCTACGTTCTTATTTGCCTGCATCCCGTCTCTTACTGTCTCGTTGCTTTTTTGCTTTTGTGCTTGTGTCCTAGTGAAATACTGCTTGGTCTTGCTTTCCCAAGACTCCGAAAAAATTTGTTTAAAGTGACTGTGAAAAGCATTTTTAGTCTAGTGAAATATGTGTGATTTATGTGTAAGAAGCGCAAATGGCGGCTCTGCATGAGCTGTGCCACATTGTGCTGCTGACGAATGACGACACGAGTATATGACTCGGTATATATGCACCGCCACTCACGAATGTAATGGAACATGATCAACAGACCGAAGGAAGCAAGGGGCGCCACGCGATAAAACGCTACATCTTCGTGTTACCAATTCGCTATTCTACTGCTGCCGTTACTACTCTGACTTACGTCGATTGTGTTTCTATTCGACTAGTGATCATTCCGATGGTTTTTTCGACCTACTGTGTTTCGTGTTCTTTTTGACACAGTGCAGTATTAAAGCTTATTTTTGTCATTATTCTGCGCTGTAAAGTCGTTCACTTTGCCTGTAATGATACCTGGAGCACTGTCATTTAACTTCGTGTGTAGGGTCGCCTTGCAAACTTCTAAAGCATTAGTTGTGTGCGAACGTGCATAACCAAGATTCTCGCATTCTGCCTGCATATTTCATGCACCAAAAAACAGGCTTTGGAGTTAAAGTTGTGAATAGTTAAAATTATCGTGATTAAATGTGATTAAACAAGTAAACTATGAGTTAAAGGTATATTTTTGATATCTACTTACATACAATTTTTTATTTTTTCATTAAAGTTTAAATGTGACTAACATAAATGAAAACCATTAACCTGATCAAGTTAATTTCTGGTATAGTGTGTAGTGATATGTGTTCAACAATATTGCTTACTTATTATAAAGTTCTAATTTATGTATTGGATTAAGTTAATTTAAACAATTTACTTATCTATTTTTCAAACTTGAAGACATATATTTATTGGAATCCTTATCATTTCTTTGAGGTATCAAATTATCAAACTATCAAACTATAAGTATAAATCATATTTCAAATCAAAATCAATAATAGTAAAATTATTAATAAGAATATTGAGGTGATTATTGAGATTAAATACAGGTGTTACAAGAATAACTTTTCTTTTGCATTTTATTATTTTACATTTATGCACAGCTTTTTAAGAATGTTTTTGAAAATATCAAATTATGATCTACGACTTGTATGACATCCACTGTGATTCAAATATCTTGATAAATTTACTTTATAATGCACGAAGATGATGTACTTGCAATTAAAAGGATCACAAAATTAGCCCAAAATTTCAATCTTGTTTATGAAACTCTTAGTAAATATTTTTCCAAAAGGCTTTATTTGTGAACTTTATTTTGATGTTCTTAGTGGTACCATAGTCATTAAAAAAATATTCAGAAAATTTGATTTTTAGGCTGGCTCCGCAATACTATTGAGATATATTAATGTTTGAATTTGTTGCCTACTATTGCCATTATATTTTATATTCATGATAAAATTAAAATTTCAAATAGTTAATAATTTAAAAAGAAAAAAAATAAATTTAAAAGATACTTAGACAATCATTGATATTTTTTCTATGTTTTTAGGTGGTGATATGACAAGTGGTGCACAGAACCCTGAAGGCGTAACAGAAAAGAGCACCATTAACAGCAACGGTCAGTGGAGCAGAAACGTTAGCATCACGCACCCAAGGCGCGTGAGCTTAACGAAGGATTCTGCGAGTACCAGCGGCAGTATTCCGCGAATATACAACGCTCTCACGGCCGCGGCAGTAGCTGCAGCAGCCGCGGCCACGGGGCTCAATTCAGAAAATAGCAGTGGAGGCGGTGGTGGTCTTGGTGGCTCACTGAACAAACGTCATCGTAAGCACGAAAAATTTCGCCGAAGTTCAGGGAAAAAAAAGAAGAAACGTTCGCGAGCGGATGACAAGCCGAAACCTTTGGTTGAGTACTCAGACGTTAGTAGCGAAGATCTGTCCGAGCCTGAGGCCGGAGAGATACAATCGGAGGATAGTCGCGGCGGCAACAGTTACACTGACGGTGAAGCCCCTGATCCTCTTTTGCAGCACACTCGGTATTACGAGACAGGACCAGGTCATGCTGCTTCGTCGCTTCGAGATGCTTCGCCAATAAGTTTGACCCCAACGCCGCCGTCGGGGCATCATTCAAAAAAATTGCACAATTACTCGTCCAGTGTTGAAGTAACCGACGACATGGTTGAGCACTTTGGTGAAGTTGCGGGTAGTCGTAGGAGAAAGGAAAAAAAACACAAGCGTGACAAAAAAAAGGTCAAAGGCAGTCCTGGCTCAGCGGTGGGTAAGAAGAAAAAAAGAAAATCAAAAAAGTCTTCAAGAAGCCTTAGTCCGAGCGCAATGCCCGAAATGCTGATACATTCTCGGGCTCTAGTCGAACTACGTATGAGGCAGTCCGAAGCTACTTCGCCAATAATGGCTCTCAAAGATAGTACTTCTCCAATTTCGCCAGCTACACCACCAGACCAACGCCATCATGGTAGATCACCGAGTGATATGGATTTGGAATCACCGCCACCACCAGCTCGACACTTGACTCCTCCACACCGTCTTGCTGAATCCCCCCACACTCCATTGCAACCACCAAGAGCTCACACGCCGGATGGTCACCATCATCATTCGGGTAAATCAAAGCATCATAGTCCAGATTCGAGGTATAAGCACACTAGCCCAAATCATAGAAGCAGGAGACCACATAGTCCAAGCCCTCCTAACAGGGGAAGAAGAGAACATAGTCCGACAAGGCGAAGAGATTATAGTCCTTCGACTCATCAATCAAGTTCTGTTCACCGAATGAGCTCCAGACACAGTCAGAGTCCTTCGCGATCAAGACGAGATTATAGTCACAGTCCACATCGAAAGAGGGTTGAAGATTTGATGCCTAGATCTCCTCCGAGTAAAAGACGCCGAAGAGATGACTCGTCACGAAGAGTTAAAGAAAAAGACAGAAGAGACAAAAGAACTTCAAGGTTTTTACATTATTTTTAGCTTAACTAAATTTTAAATTATGAATGAAATTAATTCATCTTTTGTTTCCATCGTTTTAGGCTCGTATCTCGATCGCGATCACGTAGCCCACATCGACGGCGTAAATCGTCAAGATCTCGTTCGCGTTCCCGTCGACGCAGTCGCTCTCCAAAGAAATCACCAAAATCACACAAAATTATTCGTAAACACCGCTCAAAGAGTCCGAGGCCATCACGTATTCCTTCACCTGTACATCGTTCAACTCGGCGCTCTCCTAATAGCATTTTAGAACGCAAACTTAAAGTTGCAGCAAAAATCAGCGAAACGAGTTTGTTCGCCGAGTTGGTTAAAGATCGAAATATGCGCGAATTAGCTTTGAAAAAGTTCCAAGCTGCCAAAGAAAAGGCTAATCAAGACGAAGTGCAAATTATTGATGGTTCTGATGAAAAAGAAAATAGCAATTCTTCAACGACAACTGATAAAGGGGGAGACAAGTCAAGCACATCTGGTACGACTCCTTGTACAAACGTTGATTTGACCCTCGACGTTACTGATATTCCTGTGCCTGCAATGGGAACACCAATGGTAAGGATTGGTATTTAATAAGCAATTAGAATTTTTTTTGATTTTCTAAGTTTTGATAATTATTTAACAGACTGAACCGCCGATGCAGAACCAAATATTGTTACAAATACCTATACCAGGGGTACCTACCTCATCTGTGGCTCCAAATTTGTTAGCCAATACATTAAATTATTCTGCTAACATCGTTTCAACCACAGCTACAACTGTATCTGGAAATACAAGTCTCACTTCTACAGGAGTAACAACTTTACAATCTTTAGAAGAAAGAACAGGATCAGCAACAAGTACACCACCTTTGCCTTCAACAGGACCGGCTGCATTAGCATTACAGCAACAAAAGAATGATTCTTTGATTACTGCTACTGTACTTAATCAAGGAGTAAATGTCTACGGTTCTCCAACAGCTTTGGGTATTGATATTGCTGGCAACTCGTCTGCGATATTAGTTTCAGGTAATGTATACCAGTTTTCATATGGAAGCTGATTTTTTTCTTCATTATTTTTATGAAATTCCTTAAATTTAAGCAGCTGTATCTCAATCGCTGGTGCCACCTATGCCACAGCAAGAACAGTTGGAACAGTTACAACAAAAATTGCAACAGCAGTTGGCAATTCCTAATCAGTCCCAAGAATCAGCTTATACTCCTCCATCCTCGCAAATTTCTCCCCCAATTCCATCACAAATTACCCATGTAAATTCATCAACTGAGCCTTTAAAAACTGATCGACTATCACCAACAGATTTAAAAACAGCGTCTGCGAATATTCGTGAACCATCACCAATGGATTTAGAAGTTAAACATAATATACCAGTAAACTCGCCCCGAAATGAATCACCTCAAAAGAACTCAGTTACATCGAAATTTGAAACACAGCAACAACGCGCTTCACCTTCAGAAAATTTGGTACCAATCCAGCAGGCTCAAGTACAACAGCTGACATCACCTTCGCGAGCCCAGTATTTACCGCAATCCCAGCTGTCCTCTAATATATCATCAAAACCTCAAGCTCTACCAACATCTCTTCCACCGCAATTTGTACATTCACCTATTAGTCAACAATCTGGTCACACGAACCAGCCTGTACACTCACTCGTTTCTCAGCAACCGATTCAACATCAACAACTGAATTATTCATGTAAACAGTCACCGCAAGTTCAACATCCTTCACGTGTTACTCATCATCCGCAAGTGCCTGTACACGTACCTCCTACAACAGCTATATCAGCACCTCCACAATCCAATTTCCCCTCTAATTTTTCCCAAAACATACCCCAGGTTGCTGGCTCTTCATCTACTCCATCTTTTGCACTCTCGACAGCAATTGCAAAATATAGTACACCCAACAATCTTGTTACCGTACCAATCAAGTCAGATGCACCCAAACCTCAAATGGTTTTCAAAACAAAAAGCCTTTCAAAGTTGCCTTTACCACCAGGAATTAATCAGAATGATCTTGAGAGTATTGATTCTCCTCCAAGTCGCTCACCTAGCCCAACATCTTCAACACCAGTGTTGAAACCTAAAACTCCAAAAATAGCTCCACTTACACCAAAACCACACTTACCCTCTCACAAACCAACTTTAGTAACTCCTAAACCTGCGGTTGGTGTAAAAGCCAGAAAAAGCATTAAAGATTTACCTATGCCACCTGGTCAGTTCATGCATATTACTCGTGATTTTTAACACATTTAATAAAATTTGAATTATGAAACCGTATTTTTTTTATGAACAGGTCCAGCTACTGTTAGTCCAGAATCAGGTGAAGATGATGTTTCAACGCCACCTCTTAGTAGACCAGAACGTTCTGTACCAAAACCAAAATTAAAACGACCAAAGATTTTGAAACGTCGTAGTTCTCGAAGCAGTCAAGTAACTTCTATATCTGGTAATAAAGATTGGGGTGAACGTTGCGTTGATGTTTTTGAAGTTATTGATCAAATTGGTGAGGGTACTTATGGTCAAGTATATAAAGCTCAAGACAAAAGAGCTGGAGTTATCGTTGCTCTCAAAAAAGTACGGCTTGAAAATGAAAAAGATGGGTTTCCTATTACTGCTGTTAGAGAAATTAAAATATTAAGACAGCTGAATCATAAGAATATTGTCAATCTCCGAGAAATTGTTACTGATAAACAAGATGCTCTTGATTTTCGAAAGGTAAAATTTGTAATATTTTTAGTAAATCTAAATAACATGATTCATCTTTAAGCAATATCTATTCGATCTTCATAATGTTTTTGATAAATTTCTTAGGACAAAGGTTCTTTTTACCTAGTATTTGAATATATGGATCACGATTTGATGGGTCTTCTTGAATCAGGAATGGTTGATTTTAATGAAATGAATAACTCTAGCATTATGAAGCAATTATTAGATGGCCTTAATTATTGTCACAGTAAGAATTTTTTGCATCGTGACATCAAATGTTCAAATATTCTTATGAATAACAAGTGAGAAAAATTGATTTCTTATTAATAATTTTATTAATACAATATAATAAATTGTATTAATAATCTTCAAAATAATTTTAGGGGTGAAGTCAAATTAGCTGATTTTGGTTTAGCTAGACTTTATAACGCTGAAGATAGACAGCGTCCATACACTAATAAAGTTATTACTTTGTGGTATAGACCACCAGAACTTTTATTAGGGGAAGAACGATATGGACCAGCTATTGATGTTTGGAGCTGTGGATGCATATTAGGAGAATTATTTCTTAAAAAACCACTGTTTCAGGTAATGTTTTTTAATTGTCTCAAATTTTATAACCCCTCATTTCATTTATTAAGTTTTTGGTAATTATGTTGACCTTTGTTGAATAATTATCATACAATTTATTTTAGGCTAATGTAGAAATGATGCAGTTAGATATTATTTCTAAAGTATGTGGCACTCCTGTACCAGCAGTATGGCCGTCTGTGATAAAATTACCTTTGTGGCATACTTTAAAACCAAAAAAAATTTATAGGAGAAGACTCAGGGACGAGTTTTCGTTTATGCCATCTACAGCTTTAGATCTTTTGGACAGAATGTTAGAACTTGACCCAGAAAAACGCATTACGGCTGCTGATGCTTTAAAAAGTCCATGGCTTAAAAACGTACAACCAGAATTGTAAGCTCTTTCATTGTTAATTAAATTGTGAACTAAAGATATCTTCGACTTTGAAGACAATTTTATTAACTTTTATTTTAACCATATATTTTTATTCACAGAATGCCTTTACCAAAATTACCTACAAATCAAGATTGCCATGAACTATGGAGTAAGAAAAGAAGACGCCAATTGCGAGAACAACAAGAAAGTTCACAAGGTAGAATGCCTCTGATGTCAGTACCAAATAGAGGTGGCATGCTAAAAGCCATTGAGGACCTGACTGATATTGGGGGGTGAGTAATAGTAGATGGCTGCTTACAGTTATAATTCCAGTGGGTCCTATTAGAGAAACTACATTCACGCTCAAGCGTGCTTGTAAATAAGAATATGGAATCTATTATAGTTTATAAATGTTTATAAATGTAAAATAATTGCTCATTGTTCCTGTGCATGATAATAGTTTCAACAATTACGAAGTTTAGAGTACATATATGATACATTTATATCTACACTATTTTTATGAATCAAAAATTACGATAAAATTTAATTTGTTACATTAAATTCGTATAAAGTGTTAGTAATTCTGGATATTCAATCAATTTATTATTCATCCTTTTTAGACTAATATCTTTGTTGACCAATTCGAAAAATTTCAGTACATAGTTATGGAAAATGAAAAAAATCTCGTAAATATTTTTAATAACTATGTAATACTATGAATGTACAGGTCGCCAACAGTTTGCGAAAAAAACACTTGTTTTAAGTGAAAAAACGTGTAAATAAAGAGAGAGGATAAAAAAATCATCATCATGGATATAAAAAGAATCTTAATTTAAAGAGGGAAGCAAATAAGCTTCATAAGATCTACGGTTATGAATGCTGTAAAGCATGATATGTTTCAATCGGAAATATACGATTGATTATGTGTTTTAATGGAGTTGTGGCTCAATTATTTTTTAATAACTGGCTGTTTCAACTTATTATTTTGTAAAATAAATGATATTTCTAATTTCAGAAAGAAATTAATAAATCTAAAAATTATATCATACCTTAGTCGTTAGCATAAATTATTCAAATCATTGATATATTATTGACTTTTACATTAATTAAATCAAATGTTTATATATACATACATACATATAAATATTTTATGCATATATATATAACAATTTGTATAAATATCTGTCAACTCTTTTCAAAATAACGTTGACTTTACAATTATTCATTTACTAGAAGCCAGTTACTGATTTCTCGCCAAAACATAGTTGCTTATTTTTTATTTATATAAAAAACACACTGGGAACCTTTTTGATTATTATAAAGAACATTTAATTTTTAAATCCTTTACAAAATTGTTAAATTTATAAGTTTTTTTAGAATGAAAAATTCATTCTATCATTTTCTTTATCATAGAACTGAATTTCACAATTATACTATTATTTTGTCAATTATACAGTCTATTGCTTTCAATTTCCATGTAAATTTGCTTACACAAGATATGAATAAATGTATACCAATTTCACTTTCAAATTTTTTAAATTTATTATAATTTATATTTAAATATTAAACTAATGCATAGATTATGAGATTAGAAGATACTAATATGGATTAGTTGTGTATTAATGCTGAATATAAAACTAATATATATTTATTAATTTCAAACGGTAAATGTTGCATTATAATTGATTACACATGCAATGACTGAGCTATATTATAATGTATGTATATTTGTGAAATTCAACAAGAGTGATTTAAATGATCCAAGAAAAACTAAAAAATTTTATTTAAATTAAAGAACTTAAATATTATGTTTCAGGAAATAAATTGTATGGACAGTTGTGATAAAGGAATACTTTTTTTAACACTTATAAAAGTGTATGTAGGTAATAAAAATATTCTAGTGTTCATGCTTTTAAGTGAAATAACCAGACATCAAATTTCCTACTAATCAAAAAAATTAACATTGTTCTAAAATTCATGTATCATATATTAACAATCAAAACATTGAGCATAATCGTATGTCTCTGTGGTTCCCTGTGTGTACATTTTTACATTTTAAGATAATTATTGCAGGAAGAATTTTATAAACGACTCATTAATATTGTAGGGGTATCAAAATCAATCATTTTTGAAATTTTGTTTGTTATTTATGATAATATTGTAATGAATTTATTTTTCAACTCGTATGTTCACAAATGAATGAATTTTTAAATGTATAGTTAACTTAAGAATTATTTTGAATTGATAGGTATTGAAAAATTTTCCATATTAATTTTTCCTAACAATAAATTTCAGATCATCAAAAAGACTAAAAATGGAAGCAGGCTATAATTCTTTGCGATACATTTCGGAATCTCAAGTAGTTGGTGAAAGTATGTTAGGTCAAGCTGGTCAATATGCAACTTCTCCATATTCTTACAACAGTCCTCCACCTGTGAAAACTAGAAGCAATCCTAGGGATGGCAGTCATTTTCCTGAGTTTACAAATGAAGATAGCTTAGCCCGTAATTTAAGCATCTTGGCAAGTTCTTTAAACCAAGGAAAACCTATAAGTGTGGAAGACCTTATGTCTCTTAAAATTGATAATGAGGTACAAAACTTTACAATACCATTCAAATATTTTATTAAATTATAATAATGTAATTTTGAACAATAATTTTTAAAAATCAACTATTTTTAATGGATTTTGTGATATTAAATCTCATATATTATTTTAATGAAAAAAGACTGATCCAAAAGCTGCGCAACTACTTGCTGAATTGCAAACAGAATTACGTCTAATTGCAAGCTCAAGACAAACTGGATTGCTCAACCCTCATCAACCAATTTTGAATCCACCATCAATGGGTATGAAAGAAAAACCTTTTTTATCTATAATCACAACATAGTTATATAACACTATATAACAACTTATTGCAGCCTCCAATGTTGGTCAAAAAAATAGTTTTGATGCTCATGCAGTCTATGCAGGTGATGATGCAGTAAGTTCAGGAAGGTGGTCACAATTTGCTACCGCTGGTGTAAGAAGTGCTTTGTCTGCATTGATGTCTCGCTATGGTTTAGAGCAACATACTTTACCAATTACAACAAATAAGCCAACAGGTAAACTGATTACTAGTTTACCAAATAATGCTTTCTTACCTTCTACATCCTCGCAATCTGTGTTTACATCTTAATTGTCAGGTTATTGTACATGAGTCCATTTATAATTACTGATGATATGTATTTTGATGTACATGATTGTAAAACAAATTACCCACAATGTTAAGATTTTTATGGGAGTTATGATTTTGGATTCAAAATAGTGTAAGCACATGTACATAAATATAAGATTCATTAGTTTGTAAAATATTTTCACTTGTATAAAAAACTTTCTTTTTTATTATAATTATCATCAATTATTAATGTATTTTAATTTCAATGTGTTGTCAATAATCTCAATTTTTTCATATTTTGAATTGAATTGAAAATGAATAAAGTTAAAAAATATCAAGTCATACATTTATGAATATGTGATTCATTAACTGTTTTGAATATAGTGTGTCTGTGAAAAATACGGAAAACAAAAAAATAAAATTTTAAGACTAACATATGAATCTTCTCAAAGGACTTTTCATTTTGATGTAAATTATATAGTAAATGAACTATGTAAATATTGAATTTTCCAGTGTTAATGAGAGCATAGCCTCTCAATAGAAAAAGATCAATAAGTTATCATGTATTTATCAGAACTTATCAATCTTTTTCAATTGGGCTAAATTATAATTTTTAAAGATACTGTAAATTTTTCTTACAATCTTCACGTCTATAAAAAAGATTGCTTTAAAAAATTACTATTGAGCCTTAAGTATTCGGATGAATTCCATTATGTGATGTACATATCTATATTGCTTAATAAAATACTTGACAATAAATGAACAAATTTTTTTAAGAAAAACCTTTAAAAATTAAATCTAAGATTAAAATTAAAACTTGTGATTACATTCAGCATTGAACTATTTAATTCTTTTTTGTTTTCATTGGTAACAAAGAAAAAAGAAAAAAAATTGTTTAGTTTACTGCAATGATGTTTAGAAGTCTTAACGCAATAGTTTCTTAAAACTGTATAATTTTTATCTTGATTTTATAACTTTTTTATCAAGTCGTTTTAACATCAATTTTAATTAAAATCTTTCTCAACAATATAATTACAAATGTTTATAATAACAGGGAAAAATTATGTTTCAATTTTCATTTATAAAACAAAAATAAATTTAAATAAATTAATTTATAAGAAAATAAATCATATTTTCAGATTAAGAAAGCGCGAGAGTATTAACAGTTTGTGCCAGAGCGCGCAGCCCGAGGGGTATTTTTACAATACCGCTAAATTATTGGGACAATCAAATGAATTTATAGTTCGGAGTTCTTGTAATATGAGTGTATATATCTATAGTTTGCAATGTTACACAACGTGAGTGGACAGTCGACACTCGGCAGTCTTCGTGATAAGTTTAAATTTTTCGGCAACAGCGCATAAACTTATTCATTCTGATAATGAATTGCGCGTATATTTGTTAATAAATTTGCCAAAAAGCAGATCTGCATGACACTGTGCTAGCGTTAGAGGAGAGGAGAGCAATGAGGAGAAAAAAATAAATTTTGAATATGATTCTATTTATATTGTGAACAAAATATTTTGACAGCTCAGTGTTATTTGATAGATTAATTTTTTGTATGATGAATAGCTTTTATTTTTTACCAATATTTTTTATAAATTATGAATAAACTTTCATGTAAAAATATGCTGTGACAAGTTCGATTAGGATTTAAGAACAATGGATGCGCTTCAATTTGAGCTCCAACCCAACCTCAAATTCGTATCAGAATTAAAATCAGATTTAAAAGAAAAATATTTGGAGCAATATGGAATAACTAAAAACTACTTATCATCTTTTTTATCTTCTTTGCAAAAACTTTATCAAGAACATCAAAGTGAGTGAATTCTTTGTTTTTCATTAAATTGATACATGTATACTTTTTTTAGTTTTAAACATAATGTAGTACATTAAGAATTATTCTATTAAGAATAAATTTTTGTACAATCATAAAATATCTTTCATAAAGTAATTTTTGTAAATTTTTATGCTAATCAGTAATTGTTATAATCATTCATATCAACACTCTCTACAAAAACATCAACGCTACAATTAATTTAGGCAAAAAAAGTAGAGTAACTTATCTATGATTGCTAACGAATTTTCCTTGGAATAAAATTAACTCGAGATTTCTGACAACGAAAACAATAATTCTTGAATTATTGTTGCGCTTTTATATTTATATTTATATATTTTTATATAGTATTGCCAATAGATTTTGTTGGCACAATTTGAATAGTAATTTTTTTGCTAAAACAATTATAACGATTTTTTTTTTTTGAAGGCAAAAATAAAAAGTTTTAGTCTCGCCTGCATTTTCAAGCGTCATTTTTTATGCAGCGGCGATACATAATTCATACAACGTTATTTATCAAGTAATTTATATTTTTATAGAAATATTAACAGATAATTTGGAGCTACGTATAATCAATGAAAAATTAAGGAAACTCATTGAAGAAAATGAAGCTTGCAATGAAAAAAAAATGTAAGTTTAAATCAATTTTTTTATATACACTACACTGAGAAAAAAAATTCATTGATTCAATGAAAATTTAATTAAATACATTCTATGAAATAATTTCACTGAAATAATCTTTTTTTATTTCATCCAACAAAATATTTAGTTGTTTTTACCAAAATTTCATGAAACTAAAGAAAAAAAGATTATTTCAATGAAATTATTTCATAGATTGTATTTAATTAAATTTTTATTGAATCAATGAATTTTTTTTCTCAGTGTACTTAACAAAATTATCACAACAAAAAATTTCATCGAAATTTTGTCAATTTTCAAATGCTTCTGTCTTGGTCTATATTCATCTTATCGAGACGAACTTTTTTTAATTTCTTGAAAATTTTGTCCTCTTTAAATCAATTTATATTATGTTAAAGTAAATATATAGTTACCAGTAGTATTTGAGCGCAACACTAAAAATTACTGAAAAATATCGATTTTTCAAACGTGTCAAAAATCGCGTCGATCTAAGCTAAACGAGGGATTTTACGTACTTTAAATGGTTTTGATAAACAAAACACTGTAGTCCATGAACACGTTTAAACGATCGATATCTTTCAGTAATTTTTTGTGTTACGCTCAAATACTTCTGGTAACTCGATATTGACTTGAAACCGTACATAATATATATGGATTTTTTAAGAGGATAAAATTTTCAAGAAATTAAAAAAAGTTCGTTTCGATAAGATGAATATAGACCAAGACAAGCATTTGAAAATTGATAAAATTTCGATGAAATTTTTTGTTGCGATAATTTTGTTAAGTAGTATATATTATAATTTTAATGACCATAAAAATAATCAATTCTACTTTTAGTTTGGAAAAGTTGCATGAGTCATCTTTAGAAGATAATTGCAGAGCACCAGACTATAAAAAGCTACTTTCAACTGAAATTCAAAGTTCTAATGAAAAAGTAAATGGTAATAATAATGACAAGTATAATGAACAAATTATAAGAGATCAAAATATAGAAAAAATTTATGAAGATGCTGAGCCAATGAATGAAGAAAATAATTTTGATGTTATGGATATATGTTCTACAGATTTCAATTCTGATATAGAAGAAAATGTCAAAAATGATGATGTGACACCTCCTGTTTCAAAAACCAATACACCAGTTAAAATAAAAAATAGTCCTATTTTCAGTAAGAAAAAAAAAACTGGATCAAAAAAAAATTCTTCTTTTGTATCAAATTCAAGTTGGGATAGTAAAATTAGTTTCAGTGAAAGTATTTCAGATGCATTTTTTGATGATTTGGATGCAAATGTAGATCAATTACTCCATAATATGAATCAGAATAATTCTACTGAAAATGAACAAAGCTTGTTGACAGAAGTATCCTCTGAATTAAAGGATGAAACAAATAAGGAAGTACTGAAAGTAGTCAACAATAGATCTGTAAGTTCAACTTCTTATATTGAAAATGAAAAAAACAAAAATTTAGTGTTAGGTATATCAAAAATTTCCTGTGGTAAATCAGATTATACAAACGATGGAAAAAAATTGAAACAGGCTACTTTGGGATTTTTTGGTAAAAAAAATTTGCCACTAACAGATGTTACAAAACATGCTGATGAAAATATATGTGAAAAAACTTCAATGATTTTTGATCATGAAGCAAATTCTGCAGGTCCTTCTCTAAACTATCAACAAATTCAAGCTCTTGACTCCAAACTAACTCAAGAAATTGAAAAATATCAGAGCAAAGTATTGGATAAAGAGGATGATTTGATAAAAACAAGTCCAATTGTAAATACTGAATCAAAATTACGAAATAAACTTTTTCAATTAACGAAATCAGATAGTCAAAAAATATCATCTAGATTAAATGAACAATCAAAAAAGGATTTGATGACTGAAAGACCAATCTTAAAAAGTATTTCAATGAACAAAATAATTGTCTCATCGACTTCTGGTTTTAATAATAATAAAAGAAAAGGAAGTTTTCACTCACTCGAAAATCAAAATTCTATTTTATCAAAGATTAAGTTTGAAGAAAAATATTCTGTACAAAATAAAAGCGACCATGAAGTTGAGATAGTTGATTTGGAAAAAGAAATGAAATGTAATGCACCTCCATCCAAAAAAATTTTACTCAACAATTTTGATGTGTAAGTAATTTTAAATTAAATTTTTGGAAATTGTTTTATAAAAAATAATTTTTAAAAATCTTGCTGTTTTAGAGTATCTAATGAAGTAAAGGAAAGTTTGAGCTATGCTTACATCGAACCTCCTGTTAGGAAGAAAGCTGATAGAGATAAGTTGTTAGGATGGTGCTGTCTGCAGTGTGCTAATGTAATATTTGAAAAATCTATTTATTTAGATAAAAATATTAATGCGTACATTAATTTTTTAAAATTTTGTTTTAGTATTATGAAAAATTGGATTTAACTGAGGAAGAAAAAGAACAACGTAAAAATGAATGTTCTAGACACAGAGGAAAGTTTAAGCCACTTATTAGTACTCCAGAAAGTAAGTGTTAATAAAAGGAATCTTACTTTATTCTAAATTATTTTATAAAATTAGAATGAAATATAACTCAATTTGATTAACTACTTTAAGGTTTTTGGGATGTCAATTTCAAGGAAACAAATACATCTTCATGTGATAACTGATTTTCGTTAAATATTAAATATCAATTCAATGTAAATATAATTCATGCAGTGTCATGAAAATATTATATATTTTTGTAAGATTGTTTATGCTTTAAAAGCAAGTAAGTAATGTTTGATAATTCTATACAAAGTGTAATTTAGTTTTTTACATAAGAATTATACTATATTTTTATAAATTAAAAGTATTCAAATTAAAAGACTTAATTTTTTGAACATAGATTGATTTATTCTCCCACAATATATTTATATATATAATACTCTCCTATAACATAGCATATAGATTTTTTATTTCTAAATATATCGTTTTAGACTCACACAAAAATATATATAAATATATTTAATCTTCAAGCTGACTTCTAAAAAGATTAAATTAAATTCGTTCGCTTTCGTCTAGCTGTTTTTCGCTACTCAAATGTCCAATCATTATAATGAGTGAAACACTGTATTACTACTAATAATACCATTGACTTTAAATGAGCATAATTATTTTTTGTTGATGCAATTTTTTCAAAATGAAATTAAAAGTCATTTCTGAAAAGTCATACGTTTTAAATGCTACAAAATAAATCTGGAAACATACTAATGAGTATACTCCAAAACCGCTCTTATTCACCTGACAATTAAATAAATAACAATTCATAAATACAATTTGTAATATATGTAGTAGTTAATGATTACCAATTAATCAGTTGCTTTTTACCAAAAATTTGAGAATAATTGTAAATTAAAATATTCAAAACTTATATTTAGTGGAAGGTAATTCATTAAACTAAATCGACTGAGAAGGTGGTATAGACAAGGGCTTATGGTGAACAATCTTTTAAAATTTTGCACATAAATAATTGAAATTTGAAAAATTTTCATGAATACTCTTTTCTTACATCGATAATTTTTCTACCGATTTTTATCTCATAGAGTCAAATGATCAGTCAAGTTTTTAGTTTATATAATTTCTATTAGGATTTGGGGACCATGATATTAAAACTACCACGAAAAGTTCTTTCTGTGTGATTATTGGTTTCTTTATAATTGTACTATAATGTTATTTCTCGCTATCCTTACGTACTGCCTTATATAGTTTTTTTTCTCAAAAATTCTTCCAGTACATAAATACAAAGACGAATACAATATATATCTCGAATCAATTTTAGTTAATATTTTCAGCTAGTACAAATCTATTCTTTCGTCATACATTTTATCGAACATTGCGAACCACGATGTAATATATATATAAGTAGGGTATTTTGTTATTTTATTATAATTAAAATATTAATGGTACGTCCATCGAGTATAAACCACGAACAAAATAATTTAAAATGAATTAATGAAAATTAATTTAAATTTCATTAGTTACAGTAGTTGTATCATGGTCCTTCGGGATATATAAATATATATATATACATTAATGCTTGGACACATTTTTATCATTCCATATTATTGTTAATAACTGTAATGTATAATTATCTTTTACACCATTGTACGTAGTATAGTAAAATATTTTTCGGTGACTTTAACGTTTGACTTACTTTCAGATAATATATAATTAATAATAATGTGGTAATGGTACATAATACATTTAATTTTCATGACATTCAATATCTATATATACTCGATGAATTATTCTTATAGTTGAAATTTCATGTAAATTAAAATTATGCTTATATTGTACGATAGTATAACGTGAAGGGGACTCAATGGAAACCACATCACCGTAGTCACTTTGTTAAACACCTTTATAATAATTGCATCGAGTAGTATGCATGTAATAAACATTCAGCTCAAAAACGTGTACATGCGTAAAATATTCATAACAATACATGCACGAGTTGTAAGATACATCATTGACTACCCGATCCCACTTCATATTCCTTATATTTTGCACGATGAAAGTTAGCCCATCATTTGCCTTCATAGTCTACTATTCTCTCATCTGAACTTAATCTTATCGGCTTATTTTCATAGGCCGGTCGATCGCACAGCGAAAAACACTCATATGAGAAATGATTTTATTGTGTTAATATACTGCAGCATATTGAGATTACGGCTCGAAGTACAATGAAATTCAAGGCGAATCAAGTATATGTGGGTACGTGAAAATAGGTAACATTGTTTGCCTATATAAAAGATTTGTCAAAAGACTCGTACGTATGATTTCGATTATTGATTATAAAGAAAATATTAAAAATGGTATACAATTAGGAGCTATCATTATTCATACAAATCCAGACGTTTAAAATTAGTTTAGCAATTATAATACCATAATCGAAGATACGAAGAAAAAAATATATGCAACTTAAATCAAAGAAAGCAAATTGATGGAAAAAATTGAGGTTGAGCTATATGAGCAGGATGGAACGTACATAGACATGTCTGTATATAATTTTGGATGCTATGTAATATCGGTGGCTCTATGCTTTATTTATCAGACTTTGCCGTAGACTTGCTATTGTTAGCCTTTTCAGCGGCGACGATAGGCAAGGATTTGAGAATAGCGTGCACCTCTTCGGCAACAGCCATGAGGGCAAACTCGAACTGCTGCTTGTTGGCGACCATACCCGAGCGTTGATCTCTGATGTGCTCCAGGGTGGTCGCGATGTCGATTTCCTTGGCTCCCTTGGACATGCGATTCAGTACCATATCGATGAGACAGTAAGTACCCGTTCGACCGGCACCATCGCTAAGCACACGGATCGATGAAACATAGTTCGACAGCGCGAGTTTGTAAGCGCAAAGATAACAAATGAGCCGCTTACCTGCAGTGCACTATAATGGGACAAGATCGGCCACGGTACGCCTTGTTGACTTTCCGGCGGAATTCAAGCAGAGACTTGGTACTCTTGGGCAGGGAGTCCTGCGACCAGGTAAGAAAGTGGAACTGCGTGACGGTGCGCGTCTCTCCGCTCCGCAGGTTCTTCAGGTAAAATGAGCGCACGAGGTAGTCGTCGCACCAGATGTGCTCCGAAACCATGTGCACTTCGAACAGGTTGTACTGGTCGGAGCCCTCGTCGGGCCAATAGCGGAAGCACATGGCCTTGCCGTCCTCGACGAGTCGAGTCAGCATGACGATCACCACGCTGCCCTGCTCCCAGACCAGCTGCCAAAAGTCTGCCGCAGTCTTTGGCAAAGGGCCCTGCGTAGCGATGTATGCTGGATTTCGCGGGTCGTGATCCGTCTGTAAAGTCAACGTCAACGATCGAGAGTTTTTTTTCGACATTTTTCACAATCATTCTTCCTTTCTCTATCCCCTCAAATATTTTCATTACGAGTAGTTTTTCAAATTTGCAATTCCAACTTCAAATGGATAAATAATCAATTAACTTACAATAGTTGAAGCATTTATGTAGTCTGAATTGTTGACATTTGCCAAATCATTTAAAATAACTCGAGAATGATCATAAGGTAGTGCTGCCCCAGGTCTGTTTAATTCTGCATTTCCCTCTGCAGTTGCGATTGCAGTTGAGCAAGGCTCAGCTTCGTAGGAACTCAAAGCAGCCCATTCCTCGTCCAGTTTAGTTTGATTTTTTAAATGTTCTTCCATGTATGACTGGATTGGTACAGGAAAAAAGATATCATTCATTATTTTATTAAAAAATAAAATAACAACGAGTCATAAATTTGAAAAAAATGAATTACCAAAACAATATGCCCAGTAGCAACATCCATATTGCTGACAGGTGGCTCTTCGTTCCACGAGGACGTACTAGATCGGATTGATTCATTTCTACCAGATTCAATGAGCCGTCCAAAGTCAAAACCTCTGGGCGATTCGGACAATTTGTCCACCTGTTTGGCCTGCATTCGAGCGCGACATAATTCCTGATAATCCTTTGAGGCTTCTGGATCCGGTGTTCGAAGACCAGCCAATTTGGCTCGTGCTTTTGCGTGACGTCGAGCTATTATTAGTACAACGATAGATGCTGCGGTAACGCCGGCCACACCCGTCACCACAAGAGCACTGAATAAACCAGGGTTCATTTCTTCACGTTTTGACACTTCCAATATTGCTGGTAATTTGGTCTATAAAAAATTTCATTAATTGGTAATTATTAAGTTATGTGAAAAAAAATCATTTGATCAATAAATAAAACAAAGTGAAAGAAAGTGTAGTAATGCAAGCATTTTTGTTTTAAATTTGATACCTTATCTCCTATTCCAGCTCGAATAACTTCAATATTAAGTTGGGAATGCAAATCCTTGCGTATGTCATCTGTTAAAATTAAATTAGCCATTTATTAATATTACTATCGACAAAACAGTGCAAAAAATAAAGCAGATTGATTATTACCCTCACCGATTTTACTAACGATATCGGTTGCGTTATAGTCTTTACTGTTTCTAGGTACTTTGAAAGTAATTTCAGCTCGACCAACTCTTATGTCTTTTAGTTCTCCGGGTCTTAATCCCAATAAAGAGCCAACCTATGAAAAAAATTCAGAACAAAATAATGCAATATAAAATTTGACCATTTTCAATAAACCGGTAACTTTTACATGTGCTTCGTGATTTTTCATACTCTGAAAAGATTACTATTTCTACTGTAGATGTCATTATAATTTTCAAATCGACTCTAAAGTAACGCGACCAATAGAAGCTATAAAATACTAAGAATTTAAAGCGGCTTTACTTGTTGGCCCATCACTTTTATATAAGTAAAAAAAATAATGATAAAATAAAAATAATACATAATAATTAAAAATAAATAAATAAAATAATAAGAAAATAAAAAATTGTTATATAAGTTATAGATTCATACCATATTAACAATGCGTTCGCCTTCAGACCAAGAATGAAATTCTTGATTAAATTGTATATAAACGTAATCCAAATCGACGTTTTCGTAAGTCTTTGATAAATTTAATTTCAGATTGTAAAAATCTTTTTGTGCATTTGGAACCGTAAGAATTTCTTTCTTTTCAAGAAGTACGTTCTGACCATTCTGTAATTGAATTGGATTAGTCATATTACTATCATATTTTTTTATTCTGTATACGGATTAATTCTAATTATACTCACATCAAGGAGCTTGCTACCATCCTGGTAATTTTCATCTTCATCAGGGCCTAAAATTGAAAAGAAAACGAATGAAAAATGTACTTGGCAAGAAACATTTCAAAAATAATAACGGTAACTAACTGTATGTGGACTGAATTTTGAAGGCAAAATTATTCGTAGCGTACTGAGGACCTGGTTTCTTTACATCTAAGCGTTCTCTTCGTTTGAATCCTGCCAATTCACGGCGCCATAAAAGTCCATTCAAATCATCGTTCAGGTGCATTTCATCATCTGTTACAACGAGGGAATTAACATGTTGCTGTAGTTTCATGAATTTTTTTACGTTTATTTTTTTAATTATTGCAGCAATTGAAAATTCATACACATTTAATTTTGATATAAAAATTTAACAATTTAACGCAAAAATTTGGTACAGCATAAGCCATAGAAGTACGTTTTCCAAATATGTCTCTCTTCGCTAATAAAAAAGAGTGACTGACACCGCAGCGCATTTTTAATCTTGTCAGTCAAAAATGACGTTCTCGGTTAGCGCAAGATTTTAGGAAGACTATTTGGAAGATGATTTTGTCCACTGTGACCTGAATCTATTATAAGATCTATATAATAAGATCTATAATAGCTTAGGTAAAAATCTCGGTAGTTCTTAATTATTTTTTATCTTGCTAAAGTAATATTTAATGCACTAACATCTACTTTGATACTTTATAATAAATCAAAAATTATTATTGGAAGGTAAAACATGATATAAGTTACCAAGATCACAACCAAAACTATAGAATCGATGTGGGTTAATTGTAGATACACGTTGCGTTTCGTGATCCAGTAGACAAAATTACTTACAAGGAGACCACATGAGGTGCGGGTTACCAAATATCGTGAAAGTTTTTTTCTGGTCTGCTGGTACCTAATAATGAAGCCCCCTATGCTTAGTTTGATCCAATGGGTCTTAGGGCCCATTTTAAAAATCATTCTCTTATTTATTGAAAAATCTTTGTGCTTTTCTGACTCGTAACAAGACATACTAAACGAAAAATTGCATAATGTACAAGTTTTAGAATTAGTCAAAGAATACATTTGAATTTTTTCAGAATTTTTGAGACTCGCTATCACCTATTTTCAGAGGTCTCTGAAATTCTTAAGAAAAACGTAAAAATTTTTAAACTGGGCCCTAAGGCCCATTGGATCAAACTAAGCATAGGGAGCTCCATTATTAGGTACCAGCAGACCACAAAAAAGGGGGGGGTGGGGTTTTTCATTTTTAGGTTTAAGCAAACTAAATAATCTTCAGAGTGAGATTCAATGCAACTTGGTAAATACATGCCACCATACATGGAATCACATCTTGAAAGTGTCTTGATTTAAAAAGAGGAGCTCGTTAAAAAATATTAAACGGGCACAAATCAAATTTCAGTTCAAAGTGAACGTATCTCACTAGTTTACAAAAGAAGGGGCAATCTCAATTTGACAGTAGAAGTAAAATGGAAAAATTATGTGTGAAACCCAGGAGAAAATATCTCTCAAGTATAAGTAATTGTCGTGAAAAAAGTAAATCAGTAAAAATGAAAATAGATATTCGTGGCAATTTTACCTGTAGGATCGGCGTTGCCTCTGAAAGCAGGTAATATTGTTATGTCATCATCGTCGTCGATGAGGCCACTGCCGCTACCCTGATGCTGAGCCAAAGCGTCGATCACAGGTTTCAGAGCATTTTTCACGAGCTTTTGGCGCTGATGCTCCTGCTGATTGTCTTCTTCGTTGTCCTCATCGTCCGACTCGAGCTCGGCATCTTCATCGCTAATGTCTTCGTAATCGGAAAATTGTTGCTCGAAAAATTCCTTAGGGTATTTGTACTTTGAGGAAAATGATTGCTCATCCGTGACAATGGCATCTCTCGGCAAAAATTCTAAATTCTCGTCTTTAGCTTGCTGCTGGAACAGATTCACCTCGTTGTCTAAAAATCGACGCAAAGCCTCGACGTACTCGGGAGAAACGGGGTAATCCGCCACTTGCTCGTACGTCAGTGCGGCCTTCGCTTGTAGATTTGGCTTTGAATTCAGAGAGCGCGAACCTCGATGATACTCTGTGGAATTCGGAAAAAATTTAACGCATAAAAAGAACATTATTATCGCGGGCACATTCATACACGATTAAAACAATTTTAGCAATTTCCATGCACGTTTCCAAAAAAGGCGACCACATGATTTTCGGAACACCTGATTGCCTGTAATTTTTTTCGGAAGCTTCTTAATAAATAAACTAACTATTTTTTCTTCGATCAGATGAGCTTTTAGGCTATTTCGAAAAAAAACGACTTTTGAGGAAAAACGCTAACAGAAAAAATCTTTATTGGAAAATTTTATTAAATATGCATTGGCAACGGTTATTTTACTCAACAACTGTTAACTTTATTAAAAAATGTTTCAGAATAAACTTAACGATTGTTGAGTAAAAAACGCTGCATGAAAAAACAAATATTCTACTTTTCATTCTTATGTATTAACGCTGATGAAAACTAACTAACTTAAAATTATAACAAATTTAAGACAGAAATCGAATCGGGTTTCGGAGTAAGTAATCTCAATAGCCTGAACGAAAACTCTTGCTATTCTATATCACGAACTGATATGCGAGTGAAAATAATTAAACAATAAAACCTAATAGTTTAACTTCTGAAGCTCATCTTTGTATTGATGAGAATATAATCTGAATGGAATGAATCAAAGAAAAAACTCACAAAAGGAGTTGTACTTCGAGAACTTTCAAAGCATAGAAGTATAAATTAACAACTTAATGTGCGAATTAGTTATCTCCTTTTAGACCGAACAACGACTAATATAAACATTATCCGTGCACTCTATAAAATACCGATTTTTATAAGAGTAAATACAAACGTTTTTTCATCGGACAGTTCACATTTACTATTTTTTCAAATTTTTAACAGCTCAATATGAAATGTTTGATTACCATTTTCGGACCGGCCGAGCTTTTCTATAAATCTATCACCATAATCATCGAAGTTCGACGAGTCTTGTTGTTGATGTTGTTGTTGCTGTTGCAGATGATGTTGCAACTGTTGCAATTCATGAAGTTGGGCATTGTCATTAAATTTTTGCTTGCTGTCTGATGTATAATAAACTTCGTCGGCATAGTCTTGCGGAGTGATCTGACTCGGAGCAAATTTCACCACAGCTTCTATGGGATCTTTCACCTGTGGGAAATACATGATACATCAAAGTTTTAGTGCATGATCGCGCGCCTTGCCACTTAAACGTTTGATCGTTATTCTGTAGAAATGTGCACGCACGTAGTTTGAACGAGTTTGGTAATTTTCAACTATATTACGTTTAGTTAAGTAAATTACATCTCCACGACAGATAAATATTGGGTTCTTTTAAAGATCTCTTCATTCATTTCGAATATACCTTTCTGTAAGCTTAAAGCTGTTAAATAATAGATACGAAATACGCATCCAATCTATTGGATTTCTCTTTCGATATATTTTGAAGGTCACTGCGTATTTATCCTTTCACTAAAAAAAAGAACAAATGCATCTCTGCGCGCATTGGTATAAACTTTTCAAATTTATTTTTATTATTATTATTATTTTTTTTTTACCAAAATCTGCATTATTCATGTTAAGCATTGCAAACAACGTCACAAATATTAAGATACAGCATACGCGAAAAAAAACTAAGAGATTTTGATTCTTTTATCATATGTGATTTTTATTTTTGTCTGTGTATATTTTAACTGACCCTGGATTGGACAAAAGCATCCCCATCGACAATCCCATCCTCGCTTTCGTCATCCTTGGTTTTGTAATATTTTAGATGCTTGCACATACTTTCGGCGTCGTTGTTTAACCTGTAACAAATTCAATTAATTGTTATGGGCTGCAGGCAAAAATAAGATGATAAAATGCATTGGTGCAATATGATTGGCTGATCTCACCTGTCACGGAGGTTGTCGAGTAATATTTGCATGACGCACTGAGTGTAGTAGTGTGACCATTTGTAACCTTCGTATTCGAGTCGTTCAAGTTGTGCACGCAAAAGTTCCAGCTCCTCCAGTGCCAGATCGTATCTGAAATGTCACACAAGTTCCCATTACATATATAATCCTCAATATTGAAATTTTGCTCATCGTGCCACACAGGGATTAAATTGAATTAATAATAAGTTTTTAGTTGCATATGTCTTTAAAGGGCTTTTCAGAAAGTTGTGGATAGATGTGGACACGTATCCGAAAAAATAATATAAAATGTCACCTTACATTGGCTACCGACTATTTGTGTAAAAATAATGATTATTCATGACAATTGGAACGAATACTCACTTATATAAATACGCTTCCGTGATTCCATTGGATAATTGTATACACCTCCCAAAAGCCAGATCTATTTATAAAACAAAGTAATTTTATTATGTGAAATATTATTGAATGGAAATTACAAATAAATAACTCATGTTCTCACCATTGTAACAAAAGCTTTCAATTTCTGGCTTACACAAGTTTTTACTGAACAAACAACCTGTCGAGACAAAAAAATCATGAATAACCGATTGTACGTCGGCTTTTGGTGTTAGTATGTTATTAAAATAAAAACAAAAATCAATAAACCTCCGATGCTTATTTATTCGCTGGGTAATAATAATATATTAATTTTTCAATTGTGTTTTTTCGAAAATATAAACTCTAAATTAAAAAAGTCAATCGACACTTGAAATTTAATTCTAGCGGAAGTATATTTTAAAATTTTTTTCAGTTATTAGATTGAATTTAATGTACCGACGAGACCCTATTGGTTCTGAACGAATGAAATTAAAAAATAAATCCTGGCAACAGGCACATTTCTCGATGTAAACTTTGCTTTTGCACAATTTATGATGTCGATATTCTTGCAATATTACTGTAATAGTTTTTGATTCTATTTTATTTTGGAAGATTCCAAATTTAAGATAACTTTGAAAAACTTTTTTTAATATTTCTACTAGATATTTTTCAAATATTGCGTGAATGTCTAGATACCAGGAAAACAAAGAGATATATGTATTAGACTGATTCAAAACATCGAAGTTTTTCAAAATCTCGATTTTACAATCTTATTATGCCTTCTATATGCCTAAAAATGAATCCCAAAAAATTTTTAGCCCGTTTAAATAATTTTAACTGGTCGCTCAACGAGCATTTAGATTTCCGATTTAAATAGGATTTGACAATTTATTTTTTCTTTTTGAATGTCTGAGCCAACTCCAAAAAAAGTTGACAACTATGAACGACACGTATTTCGATGCAAAATTTTATCACCTTTCAGAATCCGGCGTAAAAATTGAGATTGGTGTATTATTTCAGATGTTATGAGCAATTTGGTGCCGAAAAACGTGGTTTTTGTGTAAGTCGAGAAAAGTGCATTTGTTTCTTCAAAAAAATGGCTCAGCACCATCACCTATTGAGAAAATGTCAATGCATTGTTTGATAAGTTTTTTTCACCTTTCCAACGCCGTATTCAGATTTTAAAACGGCCTCAATTTCGCTGAGATACAGCTGTTTTTATGGGATGCGTTTTTGTAGCTGAAAATTCAGTAATTCGACTTCGGGTTCTCGAAAAATCACTTTATTTATTATCGGCCGAAGCGAAGCCAAGGCTGAGACTTTCCCGTTTTTCGCTCCGTAGGTGGGGATAGTACAAAAATTTTTTTAATTACAGCAAAAATAGTATTTTCAATAAATTTGCATAACTTTCATCCTTGTATTTGGTTAATGTTTTTGTAAAGTTACTCCATCTCAATTGGTACATCTTGTAAAAAAACCGCTTGCAAAAATTGACTGCTATATTATTAATTATTGTCAGAAATAACTTTTTTCGGTATAATAAACATTTTATTTTGTTATAAGCGAAACACTTATTGATATATTCTCGTACACATATAAGAATCCCATTTTATTTTTCTCGGGGAAGAACGCATTTTATCAGATATTTGATGCGAAATTGCAGAGAGACTGGGATAGAAACACAGAGAGAATTCTGGCTTATGTCAAATGCAGACTCTGTAGTTATATACCTGCAGTGAATTATAAAGTTGGTGCATCAATTAGTAGGCTCTGCGAACCTTGATTGAGCAAGAGAAATGTGAGAATTTTAACTTTTACAATGCTTTATAGTGAAATTCTATGAATATTTTCATAGAACTTCTTTTTCACAATATTTATTATGACATTTGTTACGAGTGCCAAAAAGTGCCCCCTTCGGCACGAGTATCGTATTCAATTTTACCTTACTGTGCTAAGTTTACATTTATGCCCCTTTTTTCAATGCATAAGTTGCGCTGTCTGGTAACGCGGATAACGCATAAGCGTATGTGAGTGTAGCGTATTTTTCTTTTTTTATAAGAATTTTCCATTAACATTCACGTTAGAAGCTCATGACAATTTCGTTTCGATTTCTTTCAAGACATTTGAATATCTAACAGCAACCACGGTAAGGCGTAAGCTATTTAACATTCCAATTGTTCTTGCTAATTTTTTTAAGGGAACTTAGGGTAGTCAGACCAATCAATGACCGGGTACCAGTGAATGACCATTTTGGAAAATATCATATGAAAAACAATTAAAATAGTTATTTATGTAACAAGTGCCCAAAAGGCGTTTTTGGGCACGAGTGTGCGGAAAAAGACACGAGTGCCGGCTATGCCGGCACGAGTGGGTGTTTTTTCCGCACACTGTGCGCAAAAAGCTGGGCACGTGTTGCATACAAAATTTTATGCAATAGTAGGCGAAAAATACGTTCATTTAAATGAGGCGTTTTACCGCACACCCGTGTCCAAAATGAGGCATTTTACCGCACACAAGTGTCCAAAAACGCTTTTTGCGCACTAAAAAATGTGCGAAAAAATACATTTTTCGTCATACTATTGCATAAAAGCGTTTTATGCAATAGTATGACGAAAAATGTCTTTTTTCGCACATTTTTTAGTGCGCAAAAAGCGTTTTTGGACACTTGTGTGCGGTAAAATGCTTCGTTTAGACACTGGTGTGCGGTAAAATGTCTCATTTTGGACACGGGTGTGCGGCAAAACACCTCATTTAAATGAACGTATTTTTCGCCTACTATTGCATAAAATTTTGTATGCAACACCCACTCGTGACGACATAGCCGGCCCTCGTGTCTTTTTCCACACACTCGTGCCCAAAAACGCCTTTTGGGCACTTGTTACATAAATAACTATTGGGACACTGGCGTGCGGTAAAATGCATCATTTTGGACACTGGTGTGCGGTAAAATGCCTGGTTTAAAATTGAAGTATTTTTCGCTTACTATTGCATAAAATTTTGTATACAACTCGTGCCCAGCTTTTTCTCTCGTGCCCAAAAACGCCTTTAGGGCACTTGTTGCATAATAACTATTATTTATATTTTTCGGAAATTTTATTTGTTTTACAGAGTTTGAGTTTGAAAAATGGATTTTTAATTGTCAGCGGTTTTTTGATTGTGTCCGGGAGCATCCCATTGATGGAACGATCATATATAAATATAATTAACTATATAAATTATAAAGTCATCACAGAACATTTAGCGTAAAGTCGATTTACTGTATTCTGTATTCTGCATAAATGTACAATAATTCATAGTGCATAAGTGTCGCATAGCCGTACCATTCACGATGCCTTAGATGTTAAATGTTTGGTGTAAACTCGATGCGCAGGTATCAGGTAGTTTACGTTGGCAGACTCGATAGATGAAACAGAGATCGTACCCCGATCACAGATTGTTGTACTGGCACTTTTGAAAATGTGCTTAATAAAGCATTTGGAATTACTACATGAAAAGATTCAGTGAAATGGATAACATTAATCTCAGCATCTAACCTAGGGGAAGTGTAAAAGACAACAATGTAAACTTTGACTGTAAACTCTGGATGAGAGCGAGTTTATTTGAACCAAAGGCATTAGAAGAAGAAAATAATTAACTGAAACGCGCTTGGATTACAAGAGATGATAAACGTAGAGCTGATGTAATCTTTACTGCGTCACTCACCTTATGAGAACGTCAATTACTAATTACCTATAGTATTTGTTAACTTAAAATCGTTTGCATATAAAATCAATCGCAAATTAAAATACATCAATTGGACCGAGGTATTATCTAAACTATAATGTTTTATATACCGAACGAGTACTTGATTTTTGACCAATGCATACTGCTTCGACGACTATTATCGCTATTGAATGAAATAATACGTCAGAAAATCCCTACAAGAGAGGAATAAGTTTGATAGGAAAAAAACGAAAACATAAAATACACAACCAGGGCGAGAAGTGTGAAAGCTCGGCATACATACATATTTTATACATATATAGAGGAGATGGGCTTGTGAAGGTGGCTCCCGGATCTAATGCGTGGGCGCGCGCACCCGCTGCTTACGTGTATACATAGAGGGTTGATCGGCTCGATAGCCCACCCTAGAAGCAGCCATACCAGCAGCTCTATATGGCGGCATTGCGTGGGCACGTGCCGTGTACGAGCTCACAATATATCTGTATTTATTCTCTCTAGGCATATTGTTTCAAGTCCTCGCGCCACAAATTTAAATAATAGCTTATTTAATTCAACTTTTTGACGATCGATTTGCTGCCAGCTTTTAAATAAAGTCCTATATTTTAAACTCCTTCGTACATCATACATTCAAAAAATAGATTTATATGAAATTTACTCTTTGTAAGTGTAAAGATATTTCCGTTCATCGAAACATGGACGAAATAAATGCATTTCTATTTCATAGACATATTAAACTTCTTGTCAACTATTTATACTTTGTATTACACAAGAATTGTTTACTAAGATTTAAGACCATCCGCTGCTTTCTCATAATATTCATTTGAAAAAAAAAAGAAAATTGAGTACATAATATTTTAAATGTTAAGAAAAAAAAAATAAAACTTTTTTAAAACTCTATTAGATTTAAATTTTTGTTGATTTTTTTATATTTAAAAAATTGGTATAAAAAATGAGTTACGTTTTATAACTTTTTTATAATATCGAATCGATTTAATCGAAGTTTTAACAAATAAAAATTTGCATTACGTATAATTGATAAGGAATTTCATATTTTTCATAAATGTGTGAATATGACATTACTGCGCTCAACTTACCAACTTCGCCGTAGGAGCTAGCGCTGCGAAGGAAGAGGCCGAGCAAAAGTAGTAGCTGCAGGTGAGTTGCAGCCGGCCGCGCCTCCGCTCCTTCACGCCAGCCCTTTAGGCCCATGGGATAATTTGCCTACAAAAAAAAAAAATAAACAATCCTTACAATTATTTTGTAATTTTTAACCTTTTTTCTTTTACTTTCAGGCCTAAAACGGGCCTGCAAACTTACTGTATTTATAAAGAATATTATTTTATTTACGAAAGCGGTTTTTTAATACACTTGGATAATCTAGAGATAAAGTTTTTTTATGATTGTTTAGTAATTGTACATAAAATAACTCGAGTTTTGCCAAAAAAATAAACTTGAATAGTACTTCGTCTGGTTGATTAAACATTAAAGTTTTACAGGCTCGTATAAGAAATAAATATTTTGTTAAAGCAAAAAATCATTACAGCTTAATTCAATTAATTCTTGTCTACTGAGTATTTTTTTTAATTATATATACTCTGTAGACATTGGGAGTTCAAGTTTTGACACCTCAGAGCTGTATAGAAAAATATTCAGTAGAAGTCTCAGTAAATATGTGGTTTTACTTTAAATGCTAATTAATTTTTTTTTTAAGATAGTTACTCAAATAAAGTTTAATTTTATTTACTTAAAAAGATATTTCTCGGTTTTTTGCAGAGTTAATTAAAAAATGTTACTTTGATTATTCACTGCTAAATAGCTATCATAAAATCTATTCAAAAATATGATTAAAATATCGAAATTCATTATTCTGGTCTTGATTAGTATTTTTATTGTTATTATTATCCTGTAAGCTTTCTTGGTATTTTATTCTGGCAGAATATAAATTTCTAAAATTACATTACCCGATTAACTTGCGAAAACAACACTCATTAAAACATTCAAGATCTCGTAAATTTGTCATTTAATTAAAAACCACAAGCATATGATAATATTCTAAACGCAACGACAATAAAAAAATTTTTAATTTAATAATATGGGCTAATAAATGCGAAAACATATAAAATTAAGAATGCGAAGAAAATCAAATAGTAAATTCACCTTGAAAGATAATACGAGTGAATTGATGAAAACCGCAACTAGGAAAGAGCCATGAATGATGTTCTCGGAAGCTTGGGCTTGCAATATTAATTTCAACAATCCCAATGCTTCTCTTATTTCAATGCTTATGAGAGATAGTTGAGATGGTTTTGATATAAAATGTAATGTAAAAATTTTATAGCACTCCCGGCTAAAAATCTCAACTTTGACACTATTGTTAGGATCTTGTGCATAAAATATTGTATGCAACTTGTGTGAATATGTATTTTTATTAACACAAGCCGAATGCTGTTCTTTAATCCGTAGTTTTGCAGAAATAGCATATCTACACTTGTTGCGTAAAGTACTATGATCAAGCATGATAACAGCAAACTTTAGTAAGATGATGTTTCATAATATTGATCTCTACTTCTACAATTTCATTTTCAAGAATCTGCTGTCCATTTTCAATCGGAAAATCCAATAATAGTATGTAGAAACACTTGAAACGACATCAATGAACCTCTCCCCCTCCCTTTTTTTAACTTGAAAAGTTTTTCTCGTTTAAGACATAACAAAGAAATACAGCTACACAGAGAAGAAAGACAGAAAAGTAAGAAGCTCATGGCTTTGCGCACGATCGCGTAGATATTCATGCTTCAAGCTGATAAAATCAATATCAGCTATTTCTCGTTCACACTTCACTTTCTATTGGTGAACATAGCAATAGATTAGCTATCACGAGACTCAACGCTGACTTTAATTTTCCCTTTTCTAATAACGTATTAATAGATACCTGCACGCAATAATCTTATTATTGTTTTTCACTCCGTTGTGGCGACGCAAAGAATTAATGTGCAGAGAAAACTGTTAATGACTTTTTGATATAACAATGAATACGGCGTGAAAATTACAACATTTATACAATTGGACAATTTTTAGATGATCTTGAAATGACAATGACTTTTTCTTTTTACATGTAATGTTACATGTAACACACTTTTTCTAATATTTTGATTGGTTGATCTTTGAAAGACTTTTGTAATGAATTGTATGCTTTGTTTGCCTTGTGGTCTAGGCAAAATTTCTCTAAAAATTTATTTGATTAGTATTATTATGAAAGCTGCAAATAACTGAAGCTGGGTTGTTTTAAACTTTACTTGTGCTGCAATTGAATGATTCTTTCAAAAACTAAATACTAAAATAAAATTCGTACATGAAATATTTAAATAATATATTATTTAAAAAGTCCTCTAAGAACTGAGCTTATTATTTGATTCATATTTCACGTGGAACGTTATCTAACGATTTTATGGTATCTTTCAGACAAATCTAGTTTAAAATTTATAGACATCAGTAAAATTCACGAATAAATCCAAGCCCGAGAAAGAATAAAATATCGCCCGTACAAGACTTGGGTGGTACATGAATAAATTCGTCAGGTAAACATATTTCCTTAACCAACCACCAGAAGTCACGTAAAACTTATTAGAAAAACAGAATTATATTTTGTCATGACGCTTGCACTTTGATTGCTATTTGATTAAAAGTCGTTTTCAACATTGAAAAATCAAAGTATTATGAAATTAGAAAAAATTCTTTTTTATCAATTACTCAGCTGTATTTGCTTAAATTATTACTAGCTAAAAACTATGAACATATTTTAGATCGATCCGAAAATACAAATTATAACAAAGAAATACAAGTCGATCGGATAGTTCATTCTCCAGAAATCTGCTTGTTACGTGTCCTCTTGCAACATCTTAAAATAGCGCAATTATATAAAAACTAAGTTGGTCATTCGTGAAATAATGGTATACTATTACTCTTGATCGCACAGAAAATTTTCAATTTGTTAGTGCTTATTAATTTTAGTACCAGTTACATTTGCAATTGAGATATATGAGTAAAATATCACCTCCGTTGACTGTCTCGTTAAAACGAAGGTTATCGAAAAATGTGGATTTTTTAGTTTTCAAACGTAATTAATTACAGTGTTGGTTTGTAAATTCACATTTATTAGTATCACTTCTGTAAGAAAAAACAGTAAATTTTAGCTATAAAACTGAACTTTGCGAAGAGCGAAATCTAAAGGTCTTAGATTCAATGATTATTTCCATCTTATGGTTTGAATCGGGATAAACATTTTGGTACCGCAAAATTTGAACAAAAAATTTCAGCTTTTTTCTTCTTTAATTCTTTAACTAGCAGATTACTAAAAAAAGTATCATTTAAGCTTTCATTTCTAAACCAATATTGAAACTGTCTGATCTGTCAATAAAAATGCGTGGATGATCGTTTTCATGCAGCCCAATCACATGCCTAGAGATATGAATACCAAATTGGCATTTATCTCGACCAAAACATTTAATCACCCTTTATTTGTTGTGATATTTTTTACTTAGTTTAGACAAATTGTTTTATTCAACCGACAGATGAATTTTTATCAAACATATCTACAAAAACAAGGAATGTAAAAATGCATGATTCTTACAAGCGTCATTTTACTTTGTTTTTTATCTTGAGCCCTTGCAACTACTATGGGCGCTGGTGACAGAGTGTTAACATTATAATATTTTTCTACTTGATGACCAGCTAAGCATTTTTGGTAAAACTCTAGCAACATTAATTCAACTCTTTATATGTTTTTTTTTATTTAATTCTGTATAGTAATTCTATTAAGAAATCAAACGTTTAATATTTAAACAAAACTTACGTAAAAGTGTTATGACGAATAAACTTTTTTTGTCAAAAAAATATGTTGTATAGAATTATGCACAATATTCTTGCAATAACTCACGAGTTTATTTTACAGTTTGCAATTAATTTTATTCTGGAACGATGCACTTGATATAAATAGAATTGAAAAGGATTTATTTATTCTATATTTTTCAGCTCAAACAATCTTAATACTTTTGAATTATTAAAATTAAAAGTTTTTAATCTCACATGTACAGATTTGTTGTATCTTTTCACGAATTATTGTTTTACCTATCAATAATCTATTTTTCGCAATTAATTAAAGCTAAGGATGTTAATGATTTTCGACAAATTTTGAATTTTTCACAATACTGCTAGCTCATGAAAGCAGTATAAGGGGTAGCTGCTGGGAAAGCAGTCGAAAAATAATTCGAGTAAAAGATTGAAGCCACCGAAACATCCGCAAGTCAATGAGTGTTTGATAAAATGATTTAAACTATATAGAAATAAATGTGTGCTATTATCTGAACCTTAAATAAAAGCAAAGGCTTAAGAATTTGCTACTGGTCTGCGTATAATAGATTTTAAGTCGTCATCTGGCTGGCTTCGAACATTTTAAAAAGAAAATAACATGGTTTCCAAAATCGTACATCAAGAGAGCAATTCTGTCAATTTCAAAGAAGCTGAGAATTGAAAAATATTATTAAAGGATATGATTTAAGACCGCGAAGCAAAAGATATTTTTAACGATAAAAGCGCTTTATTTTATCAAGGTGTTCCTAATAAAATATTGGCATTCAAACAAAATTTTTATCACACAATTCGAAAAAATTCGAATTATATGGCTGCTAAATAATTTGATTTATCGGATAATCCGAAATCGAATGGTGGTCCCCAGGACTTCGAATAATGTGATATCCACGGTCTATTGATATGCGATATTCATGTACTTTTAATTTGGTGATTACTAAACATTTTCTTGATGAAAATACCGTAATAAAAATATCCTGCACAAAATAAAAAGCTGATAATAAATATCAGCTATCGAAATAAAGTCAGATAGTGAATTGTATAATTTAGTGAGCCTGGCGTCGATTTCAAAACGAAAAAGCGCATCAGGTTGTTCCGCCGCAACATATTGCATGTTCTCTCGATTGTACAGGTTTATGTCAAGCGTGTTCCACATATGCACAGGAGAAAATAAAAAATGTTTTGAACCATAAAAGTAAACGATATTGATTATCAACTGACTTGAATCAATTGAATCAATGGTGAATGGTGTTCATATTACTGGAAAATTCCTGGAAAACGAAGTATGACGCGTGCACGAGCTGCTTATGCGCTTTGCTGCTTCCAACAATATGGCAGCTTTTCTCTGTTGTTTTCGTTAGTTTGCAATTATTTTCCTCTAACGAAAAAATTAAAAAAACATACAATTTCCCCTTACTTTGATAGATTGGAATATAACTGTAACGTTTCATTGTTACATTGATAAATCGCATTTAACGTCTTATGTACTTTTTTAAGCGTGCATATATGAATTGGTTTGCAAATTAAAAATGATTTAAACATATTTTGGAATGCTCAACTTGGCGTTATAATACTATTTTTATATGCTCAGTGTCAGTGGGATACGAAGGTCACGTAATCGTGGAAGGTAGGGAAATATAAGGGAAAAAAGAGAGGGAAAAAGGAGAGGATAGTGACGAAGAAAGTCCGAGCAGCGATTGTACATAGAAAAATCCTCGTCATCGTGAGATGGCAGTCAGGCAAGCGGCCAGACGGGCGAGTTGGGGGGTGGGGGCGCGAGTAAGCACGCACGCAAAGAATATTGATGCACGCGTATATATGTATACACAGCCACCCACCCACCCACTCCACTACACATACACGCGTCACAAACATGCATGAATATAGAGTTGGGCACCGGGTCGTGGCAGCAGCACTACCCTCCGTGTGCACTGGCTGCCCACGCAAAGTCGCGCTCGCGTCAAGCTCGCCAGCAAGCGACGTAGGCACAATTATTGTCAGTGATCCGAACTCGCACGAGAACTTGGAATAGCACACAATAGTTGGACCAAGTACTATATTCGATGAGCACAGCTGTGCAACGCTTATGTACATGCAATTGTTGCGCCTACCTGGGCGTGTCGTTTTTGTAAAAGCAGCAGCACACGTATGTTTCAGGGGCTAACGATGCATGTCAGCTTGGCCGAACCGAGAGCGGCGGCGGCGACTCGATTTGCTGCTATCTTCGATGCTGTCTCGCCGAATTCACTCTGCAACGGACAGGATTTCTAAGGTACGAGCCGGCTACTGGAACGTTGCAAAGTTCGGAGCGCCCAAGTTACCATAGCCGCACTCGCGATGCAATGGGAAATTTGCGACTTCAATATGTATCGGGCGTAAGGACGACGCAAGCTCCCCCCTACTCGGTTCGTACAACGTGTATATGTCGCTGCAATAAGAGCTCCGGTCGAGCGCAACAGCCAAACAGCGACTGAAGGGCGGCTTTCTATCCGTGGCGAAGTTAGCTCTCTTCGCGTGACTTCTTCCGAGCTTTCGACAATCGGCTGGCATTACGCGCTTGCGCTCATTATCATCTTCCAAACATCGAGCTTTTCGATCGATATTTCGCCTTCGCTCTCCCGCTCTCTTTCTATCGCGTGCGTTGCCTACTCAGCATTTACGTACTCGCGCACACGCACACGCACATGTATATATGCGTCGTGCACAGCCGCGCGCAAATACCAAAGTACAAATGTACCCGAGAAACCGTTTGGTTGGACGTTCGCGAGACTTGAACGGGGAGAGAGCTGCGCGGACTTACGCCTGGCTGCTGTTGGATAACTGCCAGTCGGTTACCGGCGCCAGCACAACTACTCTTCCTCTCTACGTTTTCACTCGCCCATTTAATACAGGATTTACATCGGCCATTATTGAAGCAATTAAATTTTACGAACTGCAACGCCACATCCTGTCCTCCCGAAACTTGACAATTTCATTCAAAGTTTAAACATTTAACTTTTACCTCATTTTTTGGAGCCATGCTTCGATGCACGACGCATGGGTTTCTACGATCACGCTAATTGTTAATTGCATCGTTTGATACACCTTCATTTTAAATCTCTGTTTCCTCTCCATAAAAGTCCTTTCGCTCAAAATCAAGGTCTATTTAAATTCTCTAATTATTATAACTTTGACATTATCGGAATCAAATACATATTATATTTACATTTTTAAATAACTGTTAAACAATTTATGTTTTGACTCACATATTACGTGAGTCTGGCACACATAATCAGTAGTATACTATTTAATGCAGTATAATCAAGGAGAGGAATTGGGAATATATGTTGTTGATTTGGCATCTAGAATACTTGAGCCCACAGTATTCTGTATCGGTAACCGCCCATTCCCCCGAATCCATTCCCCCGAATACCATTCCCCCGAATAAAGAAATCCCCGAAGACGCTTTCCCCGAATATACATTTCCCCGAATATATATTTCCCCGAATATACAACCCTGCATGTAGCATATATCGATATATCGATCGAGCAATTTTTTTCTCAATTGTTAATGAACAATTAGCCTCTAAATTTCGTAGCCTATGCGTAGTCTAGATTTAGTTCCTCCAAATTTCCTCTAAATTTCGCTTTTAAAACATGGACTTTAAATTAATCAGTCTTAGAAGATTAGATATCAGCGGATATCTTTATTATAAATCGTACGATCGCAAGGAAATAACGTATTGGGACTGCCAAAAGGTACGAGACAAGGAATGTAAAGCGAGAGCTATCACTGCATATAATGATCAAGGCCAGCTGATCATTATAAAAAGTCCCAAAGACGTATGGTTTACCACGTGTGCTCGATTACTTGCACTTGATACGCGAAAACATTTCTCTAGATTAATTATGTATTGTAATATAAAACAATAAAATAAAATTAAAAAAAAAAAAATTCGGGGGTTGTGCTTTCGGGGAAAAAGACGTCGGGGAAATTATCATTCGGGGAAATGGTATTCGGGGAAATGGATTCGGGGAAATGACCGGGAATCTTCTGTATCCAGTTAACGAATATCGACTACGCCGACTACGTATCACTACAGATGAAAAAGAAATCCTTTACTTGAGTTTAATGTTAGCATAAAAAGGGCTTTTATTTGAGTCTGTCCCTTTAAATTACCTTGAAAAAAAACAAAAGACATATTCCATTGCAAAATTTTTCGCTTTTTTCAAGTCTGGAATAAAAAGTCGGGGTTCTTATTTGAAAAATCGATTTTTGGTTCGCTGTAGCTTTGAGGTTGTATTCAAGATCAAATTCAAGGTCACCATTGGATTCTCCGTAAAAAAATACGTTGGATATAAGTTTTTTGATTGTATTCATATAGAGCTCACTCTGCGAGTTATCTAAAGATCTCCATACTTTTATGCAAATGAACAATTTAAACAAAAAACAGGCATTCGAAATCGAAAAAAGTTGCATGAAATTCAAAAAAAAAATTCAACCTAGGAAAAGGACTCGGAAGTTTCATTTCTGGTGATTAAATTATCTAGAATCCATTTTTTAAGAATGGCACCAGAAGTTCTATGCGATAAAGTTTAAGGTGCTTTTTTCCGACCTCCTAAGCTCATGACGCAAACGACAAATGGGAGAAAGCAATATATGAATATTCAGCAGTATTTATCAAAGGAATGTTAAATATGGAAAATGATGAATCCCTAAAATTTTTTCTCTGTAGGCCCATTCCTCGCGGTGACCGTCGTTATCATGATGATTTGTACTTATCCGAGTTATTCTTTTCAAGAACTTTCAAAATGAAACTCTTCATATTTATATTGTTCTTAAAAGGATTCAGATGAATGTTCAGCTTCAGTTTACAGAACTTCTGATACTAATTACAGCTCGCACTTCAACTGATCATCTTTTAAAGTTTTTTAACATACACACTCTACAACAAAATTATTGCAACAACAATTTTCATTGAATTTTTGTCAATTTTCAAATGCGAAGTTGTTAAATTCATCAGTTTCATTTTTGTGAAACTAGGTTTATTTAATTTTTTCAAAGATATACGTTCATAAATAATTATTTGCTATTTAATAAATGATTTCCACTCGAAAATTATATTAATTATTAATTATTTAATACATTTCAGTACTCGTTTTTAAAAAACGAGTACTGAACTGAGACGTTCATTTTATATTCAAGCTCGTTTAATTATCGATGTGCATATCTATACCTTTAATATCCAGTTGGCGATCATATTCATCATTTATATCTCTCAATACAGCTAAATTATGATCGTTTATGTTTCGTGTTTTTAAATGTACCTTATCGAAAGCTAAAGACAAAAAGTATCTGATTACCGGTATTTTATGCAAGTATATAAGTTTTTATCCGAAATGTTTTGTACATACCTGTCTCATGTTTAGCTAAAAATTCGCAAATCTCTCGAAAAGTTTCCATATTCCGTAAAATACCGTCGTATTGTAATTTTTGCAAATGTTTGCACTGTAGCAGCATTGACAAAATCAAATCATCCAACATCTCTCGGTTATTTCGCACTTGTAGCATGACTTCCGCTGCATAAATCGGTAAATTTTTTTCTTACTAGTATTTCTCCATCAAAATGTAAAGGACGCGAAAATACAAACCCAAGGTCTTTGTGTAGTGAGTGATAAGCAAGGCAAGGGTTGCCCGGAAATTTCGCGTGCGACTTTGATCCCATTGATGTCCACCAAATATTTGGAATTTGGCAAGTGGCACACTCGGCATCAGTAAGTGTCGTACGTCCTCGTAATGCGATAAATTTACTAAAAATAAACGACAATCGCTACAATTACTGCAAGCATAGAGGATAAAGTTTCTATCCTTACTTATAGTGTAGGAGACGGTTAATCGAGGACAAGCTTCGACCAATTGACTCCAAGCAGCATCCTCGATTCGATGTTGACGGGAATCGGAGTCGCATATCAAGACGTGTAAAGTAGTCAAATTATTCGGCGCTCCAACGACCAGTGCTGTTAGTGTACCAACCGACAGAGCCGAATAATCCAGACTCAAATGTGTTAAGCCCGTCATTCGACCCAGTAGTCGCAAGTATCTGCAAGCAGAGTAAATATTTTAGCGTCAATGCAAAGAATTGGCAGGATTGTTAAAATACCTAGGATTGTCACGCGGCGCGTGTAACTCGCGAAATGCTCCACAAAGATTTAAAAAACGAAGATGTCCAGAACTGAATTTCGTAACTATTGCCAACAAGCGTAGAGCGTCCGCGAGTCCCAAATTTGCATTCGCCAAACTAAATTTTTCTATGTACTGCTGAGTACTAGTAAGTGAAGGTATTCAAAATTTAATGCGTTAAGATGTGACTCACTTTAGACTCGATATGAAATTCATATATAATAAAAAATTACGCTAATAAATTGGCCAATGAGTACAAAAGCTTGTCACAGTTTCCCCACTTGCTCGAGTGCACCCAATTGGTGAGTATGACTTCCCTCAGTTTCACATCCTTCGTTTGGACTAAAGCCAGAAAATTGGCACCAGCCTCGGCTTGAGTGCTGCGAGTAATTCTTGGCTCACGACGGGTACCAGTGTAAGGTCGAGTCCAAACCAGCTCCAGACTACGCATGTGCTCACCATACTTGACCTGCTTACGCACATTAAAGCAGCCGGTATTATCGAATTAAGTTTGCCTCGAGGAGACATAACCTACAGAAAACCTAAGGGCAATGGGTGGGGGCTTACCGCTTGTTCGCTGATGACGGAGTAGTCGGATCCGAGGTCGCGATCTATGCGCACAACGCAGCGTCTCCACAGGCCCGGTATGGACAGGCAGAGCGCCCAGTGCCTACATACCTCGGCGCAATTGGCGCGATCGACGGGGCCCAGCTGACTGAATACTTGTGTCAGTACGAGCTCGGGTAGCTGAGCCCACATCGCCGGCGTCGGGTCAGTCTCGCTTTCCAACTCTTGGCGACAATTTTTTCTTTTTCTTACGACTCAATGAGTAATAGCTGCACGAATTCATGTGTCACTGGAGAGTATTAGTTTCGTTCACGTGCGACCGTTTTTGATGTGTAACGTCTTTTTTTATTTGCAATATTTTTATAGCATTCGTCTGTTGATACCTTCTTGCCTCTACTGTCATAACACCATCCTCAAAAGGGGTTATTTTCTTACCCTTTATTTCTTATCGGACTGGTACAAAAATAAACCACTCTCGGAAAACAATTAGTTCGCATCTCGATTTCATAGTAAATTACATTTATCATTTTTCTCCTTATCGTATTAAATAGAGCTTTCATTTTTAGATTCTATTGAATATATTGAGGAAATATCAAGTTATATCTCCGCTCAAAATGTCAAAAATGAAGGGAAAAACGTGTTCTTTGGTCAATTCTAAACAATTTTTGTCGTGTAAAATTTTTTATCGAGTCCTTCGTTTTCAAGTTAAAAATTCTAAAATTTTTTTTCATTTTTTCGCGTTCCAACCGCTATTTTATTTGTTTAAACCCTATTTTTTCCAATCTAAACCCCGATGACCTTCAATTTAAGTATCGATGACGCGATATTTGAACGAAAACTATGAAATTTCAAATGGTTTCCATTAGGAAAACCGAAAAATATAAACATTTTTTTAAAAATTACGTTTTTTGGATAAAATCAAGTATAACTTTTGACTCAATCATTTTTTCGAAAAGTTGTAATTAAATCAGATTCTGAAAGGGCATTAATTAAATTTTACTTTAGAATTGGTTACTTGTATATTTTGTTTATCCCATTTTTATCAAAATTTATCAAAAATACTGTAGCTGAAAAAAGTGTCGAAAAAACGTACTCTTGGGACTCTTGGAATGGGGCGCGAGTTTTTAAATTTCTGCTTGAGTGACCGAGTGTTGGTATGTTTAATGCGCGCGCAGCACACCAAAAGGTGCTAGTGCTTTTAGAATTTAATCAGTTTGAAACAACAGTCCTTCAGTGACCAGTGTAGACTGTAGACTCTAATGTAACAGACTACAGTTTACACACTTAGCAAGTCAAAGAAGGTTATGATTCAAATGAGTCGTCTGCTTGTGGTTTGACAGCCACATGTTTAAGTTCATTCTTACATTAGGTGTCGTAAAAGTATTACCATACTCTAGTATTGCTTGATGAAACCATCAATTTTCAGTTAAAATAATTTTCTATTATTGAATTAGTAAGTGCATCCGAAAATCAATTTATAACTTCAACATGCCGGTCCCTTGTAGCATAGATACTTGTAATAAGCCTGCCGCGCTTAAGGTATGAACATTTATAACCAGTTATTTATAATTTGTGAAAAGGTTGTATTGTTCAAGCACTTTTTTATGTTACTTTATCTCTTTTCAGAGGCCAAAAACAGGGCATAGCATGTGTAAGGAGTGCTTTTTTGATGCTTTTGAAACAGAAATACATGCTACCATAGTTATGAGTAAATTATTTAAAAGAGGTGAACGTGTCGCAGTGGGTGCATCAGGAGGGAAAGATTCCACAGTACTCGCTCATGTACTGAAAGTACTAAATGATAAATATGATTATGGTTTGGATCTGTTTTTGTTATCTATTGATGAAGGAATTAGCGGTTATAGAGATGACAGTTTAGAAACTGTAAAACAAAACAGAGATGATTACAAGTTGCCTTTAAAAATTTTATCTTATAAAGATTTATATGGTTGGACAATGGATGATATTGTTAAACAGATTGGACGTAAAAATAATTGTACCTTCTGTGGCGTTTTTAGAAGACAGGCTTTAGATAGAGGAGCAGAATTAATAGGAGCAAATGTAATTGTTACTGGACATAATGCAGATGATATGGCCGAAACAGTTATAATGAATGTATTAAGAGGTGATCTTGCGCGTCTAACAAGATGTACAAGTATTGTTACTGTAAGTGCTTTATTACATAAAATTTTGTAGTTATCAAAAAATTATTAATGATATTTATGTTTACAGCAAGGAGAAGGGACCATTCCTAGATGCAAACCTTTAAAATTTGCATATGAAAAAGAAATTGTCATGTACGCTCATTTTAAAAAATTAGTATATTTTTCTACAGAATGTAAATATGCACCTGATGCTTACAGAGGATATGCAAGAAAATTTCTCAAAGATTTAGAAAGAATTAGACCAACTTGTTTTCTTGACATAATTCATTCAGGTATGCACTGGAATTACTTTCTTTTGTCAATTATCTAAAGTTTAATTTTGTATATTTTTTTAGGAGAGTTAGCATCTCAGCATGCAGCCAAAGTTAAACTTCCAGAACGACGTACATGTACTCGTTGTGGATTTGTGGCTAGTCAAGAAATATGCAAAGCTTGTACTTTACTTGAAGGTTTAAATAGAGGCATACCATTGATGGGAGTTGGTAAATCAAATAAAGCTAAAAGACTACAGGGATTAGAAATCAAAGATGGTTCCAAAAATGAATCCAAAAAAGCTTCAAGATTAAATCATAATCAACAATCTAAAAGTAGAGGCACTTGCGGAAGTTGTTCAACAGGATGTCAATCTGAAACATTGCCAGAACATAAGAATGGAAAATGCAATTCAAACACCCTTAATACAGAAAAAAATCAATCAAATGATTGTTTATCAGGATGTCAATCTGAAACATCAAATGAAGTTCAAGAAGAGCTACGTGATGTAAACTTTATTGAGAAACAACCAGCCAGTAGAGAGAAAAAAAAATTTGACAATATAAGGTGTCCTAAACATGCATTATCAACGGAACTAGAAAAAGAAGAAAAAAAAGAAAATAAGAAGAAAAAATCAATGAATAACTTTACTTTTCCATTAGATTGCACAAACTGCCATAAGGGTTCAATGACAAAAACACCTCCAAAACTTATTTATAAAAAGTTGAAAGATTCTGAAAAAAAAGAACAAAAGAGAAAATATATAATGGAAAAAGTTGGACAAACTACTGATAAACAAGAACTTAAAAAATTAACGTCAGAGTTGACAAAACTCATTCTTGATGATTCTGATGATGAGATATCAGAAACAGAATTTGACGATAAAAAAGAGAAGTCTTCAGAAAATTGTTGTTGCCCTCTTGGTACTCACAGATGGGCTAAAAAACAAAATGAACAAGATGATGAAAGTGACTCTTCATCTTATGAAACAGATGATGAAGATCGCTTGTATCAAGTTATGCATGGAGAGTTTGATATTTTGAAATTTAAAGAATTCTTTGGTTTAACTTCAGAGGAATTTGAAAAATTGGACCAGTTAAACAAAGAACCTCAAAAAACCATTGCAGAAACTGAAACTATGGTTACATCAAATAAGAACCTAACTATGAATACTCCACATAAGGATCAAATAAAAAAACCAAATCCAATTGATGAGAATGAAATAATGCTGTGCTTGATTCATGATGGACCTGAAGATCAGGTATTTTATTCTGGAAATAATCAAGATATTTTAGCATTTATTACACAAATTAAGGAATCTCATTCAATGTCTCCATCTGACGAAACTCATGAACCATTTATATCCTTGAATGAGAAAGATGTTATTTGCTTGTCAAATAATACAGAAACAATAAAAAGTGTAAATTCAAGTTCACTTGTAAATGAAAATCTGCGTGAAAGTTTTCAAAATACAAAATTATCAGAAAATGAATCTTTAATTGTAAGAGCAAATCCTACAAGGAAAGGTCCATCAATAGTGTTACCTGAAATGATTCATAAAAATAGTAATAAATTGGACTTTTGATGTTTTTATGTAAATATAAATGCTAATTGGTTGGATTGTATTAAATTGTGTATACATGTTGTATTTAAACAATTTTAGGCTTTTCCAAATTATTTATCAATTTTCCTCATTTATCACAAAAATATTTTATAATTTTTATAAAATCAAAATGTTAGCTATGACTTTTTCAAGCTATGTATGCAGCATTTTTATGAGTGATACTAGATCTACATAATGGGCAGTCTGTAGTTATATCAATAGAACAGTCTTCACATAGACAGACATGCCCACAAGGTAATAAGATTATTTCACGAGGATTTGTGCGACAAACGACGCATATTTGATCATCACGAAGATCTTTATCTCGTACTCTTTGTCTCCTTTCTTTTCGTGATTCTTCTAGTGATTTTTTCAATTCATTAGCCAACCTTTGTTCTTCTTTATCTTTTAAGTAACGTCTCAACACCATACCACCAATGAACAACCCAATAGCACCAAACATAAAACATAACCATCTGAAAATGAATTTTTCGTTAATTTAAAATTTAATTTTCATTGATGATACATTTATTTTTATTTAATTATTTATTTGAATAAAATACCTATAAATTTTTCTTCTATCATCTAATTTTCTGAGTAAAGAACTAATAGACATAGTTGTTAGGTAATATGGTGTTCCATTCATTGGAGGTTGTAAAACTAATGAATCTGGTTTCGAAGATGATTGTGATAATTCACCTATTCCAGTAATAATTGATCCTTCTCTCAACATTTCTTCTGTTGATTGTAAACCTCGTTGTCTATGCCCTACATGACAGTAATTTTTCAATACGTATTCATAATTTTAATTATTAAATCTACTCAATTAATTTACTTAGTAGATTAGAAAAATAATTCATATACCAGTAAAAAATCCCCATAAATAATCTACAAAAGTAGGGGCAGATGGTTCAAAAAAATCAGAAATAGTTTCGAGGTCTAAGATATCAGCAGCCATTGCATCTACTACTTCAACTTGATCACGTCCTTTTTGAAGTATGAATGGTACAGTGTTATAAATTTCTTGCATTGTATGCTCTTGATCAGACCTTGAAATTGAATGTTAACTTTATACTTCACAGCAATTTCCAAAAAAATGTTTAAAACCTACCAATAGCCTGATGTAGTTCTAACAACAACATGTTCTTTAACGCTGAGTTTTTGAATGACACCAGAGATATCTTTGTTGTTGATGCTACGAAGTGGTTCACCAAGAGGCTTTACCGCTCCTCTTATTGCTACATAATCAATTTTGTTTTCTGGACTATTTTCGACTAATTCTTTTAAATTATCACCCACTTCATAAAATTCAGCACCCTTTGAAAAAAAAATTATATGTGTGTTTAGTGAAAATTTGAATATTGTTGATTAAGTTTTTGCATGTTCAAAAAATGTCAGCTCACCTTTACAGCGCTGATCGAATTTTTACAGTAAAAGTATTGCTTCATACAAATACCAAATATTATACTATCAATGCCCAAGGCAATGAATTCACCCAAATAATCCATGTTGATAACAATTGCGAGGTTAGACTACTTATGCTACTTTGAGTTTAATTTTCATATTGAAATGTCTGAAAATGCAAAGTAATTACTCTCATCTTGATTTTAGACTCTTCATGTTTCAATTTTTTTTCACAAAGCTTAGTAATTTACTTGAGAATTTTGACAACTAAAGTCTCAACACAGGCGACAGGCAGCCTATGCCAGATATGCAACTGCTTCTTACAGGGGGTGAACAGATGAAGTCGCCGTTTTAAATGTATATTATTAGGTGCATCTGTTGATTATGCGGGTACGATTATGCCTCGACGGGTGTTGTGTTCAATTTCGATATTGAATGAAAGATATCTATACTGTCAGTTTTGTTGTGGCACAACTGCAAATTCATAAGCGACTTTGATTTTTGAGCTTTAGTCTGAAAAGCTTTCGCTAGAATTCGCTAAATGTTCTAAAAATTGTTACCGATGTCGGCAATTCGCAGCGTGTCGGCAATGCAGAAAACTATCCTTGAATGACGATGCCAGTTATTTTTATTATTGAAATTTCAATGACACGACGGTAAAAAATAAACGTTCAAGAAATAAAAGTAAGAAAAATCAATTATAACTATAAAACTGTTGGAAGGAAAGTTTAAAAAATGAATTAATGGTGACATTCTTGAGTACTGAAATACATAGGATGAATATAGTACCCGATAGCCCCCAAGCAATTAAGAGAAATTCTCGCTTTGCTCACTTATACAAATTACGGATAAAATAACAAAAAATGTTTGATAGCGTAAATTAATCTTTTGAATAAATACATACACTTGATAAAAAATCCGGTAATTATCAAAGATTATTGCAAATGGTCGACAACTGGATGAAAAATTTTATCGTCAATTTTCGACCAGATCAAAATTAATAATTGATCCAATAAAAGAGGTTTTAATACTTTTCAAAGGAAGCTATGAATTTTCTGAAATTATTATATTTATAAAGGTAAAAGAAAATTTTATTGCGTCAAAATTTCATTATTAAGGTGACAAAGTGATAGCACCATCAAAAGGCTCTGTGTGAATTGTGAGAATATTCAAATGAAGTGAAACAAAATTTTAAAATATATTAGTTTTATGCGAATATTATGGTTCTAACTTACTTTTTGCTAACTTAGTTCTAGCTTAAGTTTTGGTAGAGGTAGCGACCATAGGCATTGTTGCGACAAACAAATAGAGCTCTCCAGGAACTTGAACAGGTTATTGGTTCGACTTGAATGTTACGATACATAGACATACAATTTAATTTGACGTTTTCTTAGTCAAAGGGACCTCGTGCAAATTTAGAGACACTTTTCCAGAATGTAGAGGTTAACAATTTTGTTTAAAGGTTTAGTAAGAAGCCTCCAAGTTGACCAATCACAATTTTTATTATAGGTCTATTTTTTTTTTTTTTAATGAAATAAAAAGGATTTATGGTGAATGTGTCCCCTTAATGACTGTTTATTCAAACAATATGTTACGTAGGTTGGTTACTAGTGCTAGAGATTTTAGTAAATTTGATGTGACATTTTTTAGAAAAAAATATTGAAGCATCTCTCTAAAAGAATTAAAATGAGTCGAGTGCGGGGTTTTGGCAAACAATACAACTGAGAACTTGTCATTTGTTCTGTTTGAATTTCCGCATGCTACATTTGAGTGAATGAGGAATCAAAGGCGCCTAATATAATGATTTTTCGTAACGTTCAGACGTCTGTCGTACTTAAACATTTAATCTGTCATTAAGTAATTAAATTTGCAACGGTGAAACTTGAGCATCGCGAGGTACACGTACGTGCATTACGCCCTTTAATTAACAAGCGAAGAGAGCAGCTATAGCGACGCGCCGAAGCTTATGATGCGGGTGTCGTTTTTCGAGAAAAGCAGTTTGTTGATTCGTTTGATTATGCGGGTAATGTCTCGACACATACTAGCCGTTCAGTGTCGGGGATTGAGCTCGCGACCGAGGCACGCAATTTAAAAAGAAAAGCCGTCAAAATATGTTCTGCCGATCGATCGTGTATCAGGCGTCGTGTGCAAGTCGCTCGATCGAGTTGAGGCAGCTGGAAAGCGTACGGAGTCGATCGGCCAACTCGACCATAGAAAAACTGCTTCCCGTTGCAATCGCTGTAATTATGTAAGCATCGATTTCAAGATACGATGCAAATGAGATTGCTACAATGAGCGCAGTGCGTGTTGCAGCGCGCGGCACTGCAGCTTACAGCTGAGCTTTCCGAACAGACGCCTCGCCTGGCACTTGATCAAAGCATCAAATATTATGTACGTCTCTCATCGAGCTGCGACACGTCTTTGTTTAATATTTATAAGACGTTGATAGATGTATAAGGGTGAGCCGCAGCTATGCGCGACCGTTGCCGATAACGTAATTCGATTAGACGCGGCCCGCTGTTCTGTGGACGCGTCTCGACGCTCGACGGCTTGTCCAAGTTTTTAACGAAGTGTCGCAACGTCTTTCGTGGCAGGCAGCTGCGGATCCTCTATATAGTCGGCCGCCAAGTCGTTATTCTTTTATCGAGAACGACACTCGAGCCGCCTATCGAGCGTCTTGCTCTCAAATCCGCAATATCTGCCCTCTAAAAGTGCAACGACTGTTCTCGAGTATGGAGAAAGAGATTCGGCGACGACAGACCCATCGTGAGTTGCGTAACGAGGCCCAGAAGTGTCAATCGATTCCTCGGCAAGTATGAAGCGTCACCTAATTTAGATGCAAAAGCCACGAGTAAAGAAAGCGTCGCGGTCGATCGTTCGAATGCAGGGAGCGTTGTGCTCCTGACTGACCGACCGAATGAGCCGAGTTCACGTACGAACGAGCCAAGTTGCGTCGGGTAAAAAACTCGCCGACGAAATGAAAAAAGTTTCGAGCCTTGAAGAAAAGCTTTCTCGCGATCCGGGCCGACCAAGATCGCAACTTAAAGCCCTACCGAATACAGCGGGTCGCCTTGCACTCGTATGCGGCATTACTAACACTTGCTCATACACGGTAAAACGCGTGAGTATTTATGGGCACCACTACCTCGACGCGAGTTAAATTCGCGCCCACGCAATAAATCAGTCGGTGGCAAGCTCTGTTAGAATTTGATCGCTCAGCGTACGCTGCACGCGTCGAGAGCTTGAAATTTCAAATCGAGCGACGCGCAACTAGTTGCATAAGAAATACATGTAAAACTACGTACTTTTAGTGAGAGTGAGAGATAGAGGGAGCTAAAAACCAAGACGTCTCTATACGTGCTCGCAGCTGTAAAAAATTCTTTTCCTAGCTTTCATTTCACCTGACACATTATTCAGCTCACTTCACTTTTCTTCTTATACTCGAGGAAATCTTTCTGCTTATGCTGCAACCGGGCGGCTTTTCTTGAGCGCCCACTGAAAGTACAAGCGTCGGGCCACAGATGGATCCATTTGTGCCAAGGCAATCTTAATGTAGGTCCTGCTGCGCTTTCGTACGTACAAGAAAACCTCGTTTTACGCGATTTTTTTTATACGGTTTCACTTATATGTGGTTCGACAAATGACACCACCCTCCGATTTACGCGGGCTTTCCCTCACTTGTACGCGGTTTGAACACTCTATAAACCTATACTTTCATATTTTTCGAACTAAATCTTGAATTATTTTATAATACAGAGTGCTAAACAATCACGAGTCACTGATTTTTTCTTTAAAAAAACCATAAATAATGTCACAGAGACAGTTTTTCATAATTTTCTCGATTTTTCTTATATGCATCCCCCTGATCTCCATAAGGATAATGTATTTTTTACGCGGTTTTTTTCGCGGCATTTTTGCTGCACGCATCTACCGCGTAAAACGAGGTTCGCCTGTATTTAGTACTCATTATATTGTACTCGGTGAATGCAATTTATGTACTCTTACCAACTGTCCGCTGATTTGATTTTGTCTTTGTACTTTTGAATTTGAGTTTAACTTCGACTTCGTGATAAAAAAGACGAGCACGAGGTTTCCTACTATTTTTTAGTAAAGAGCCACGCATCACTGGGTATTACTTATTTTAACAAACTATGACGCATGTCGTGCACTAACTAGAAAAATCGATTCTACATGAGAGGGAACTGAAAACTAATTTCACCCTTTTCTACTGCATCCGCGATTCTTTTTCTATTCACATGTGCCAAGTCCGCACGTATCGAGTACATGTCGAGTATTTTAAATTATGAACAAATCGATGTCACCTCAATGTCAATTTCGTGTTTTCAAGTTTGTCAAATCACGATGCAAGTGACAAACTGCATTTGAACAGAAAGAACGAACACAAAACCAAATATGTATATCTTTATTTTCCTGATTAGTTTCTTTAAAACTTTTATAAAAAAATAACGACGTGTTGTAAAATTATATATTAATGGCTTATAGGCAAGTTTAAATTAAATTTATTTACTCTTTTAAATGCATTTTTCAAAACTCTAAATGAATATGTCTTTCCTTGTTTTCAAAATCATTTTAAGGTTGCTAGAATTAAAAATAAATCCCTTATTCTAACTTGATTTTAGTTGAATAAGCATTTTATTTGTATCTATGACACCCTTCAAATGACCTTGAAAAAAAAACAAAAGGCATATTCTTATCAAATCTGCAATAAAAAGTTGGGTTCCCCTTTGAAAAATTGATGTTTAGCTCGCTGTAACTTTAACGTTATGTTTAAGGTCAAATTCAAAGTCACAAAAATGCATATAAACAAAAACACTATAAAAATTTTCCGTGTTTGCGCATTTTTTTTTTGTTTTTAGAACCCTGAAGCACGCGAGCCCACGACCCTTACTCGCGTACATATAAATCAGCTTAAAATCAAACTATTTTCAAAAACCAAAGTTTTTCTGATTGGTTACGAAATAACATTGAATATGAACCACGAAAATGAAAAAATGATAATAGATATTTTTTCGTGCAGTCACAGAGTCGAAAAAATCGTAAAATATCATTTTTTTTTCAAATGGTCCCCATTTCCTCAATTTTTAACTTTTTCATGATCTTAGCGGTTCATAGCAGTAGTTCATTGAGAAGGTAAACATGTAAACAATAAAAAAACTTATCTACTGGTTTCTGATAAGATTTGCGGCCTCCAAAAGGCCCACCAGATGCACCTCTATCGTTGAGATGCTGTGAATAAAAGCTCATTACTCCGCCATTTAAAGAGATATTGACTCGGAAAAATTCACAGAGATTGTTAAAAACATGAATAAAATGAACTGTTATTTTCAATCGTCTTGTTTCATTTTTTCTATTAAAAAATCGCAAAAAATACTTAAAATTGGCCTTCTATCTCCCCCCTTAGAGCGAACTCGAGCTAAAATTAACGAATTTTACTATGAAGATTAATGCCAAAGATGGAAAAAAAATCTTTGATGCAGCATCATTGATGAGATAATCAGACACTCAACACATATGGAAAGCATTTCAAAAGAGTGTCGGAAATGGGTGAAAAAGAAAAAACAGTGAGTTTCATAATAATACCATTTTTATTCCATCTTTTGCATAAATATTCATAGTAAAGTACGTTAATTCTAGCTTAAATTGGTTCGCTCTTATAGACTTGCACAGTAAACCAATTAGGCTAGAGTGTTTATTTTTTGAACAAGTATTCAAAACTTTTGAGTCAGTTGGACTTGACTGTGTTAACCTGATACCATGACACACTGTTATATGGTATTTATTAACATTTAATAATACTAAAAACTTCATTATGCTTAAAAATGTTGTTAAAGAGCTCGTTGGGTCAAACGAACTATAGGGGGACACAAAAATTTTCAGAACATTGGGTGACCCGGAGTTGAAAGGCTCTTCTTGTGAGTAAAATTCACTTTTGTTATTGGTATAATGAATTTTATACAAAATTCAAACGATTTTTTCTTGAGTTCTTGTTTTTAATGGAATGAAGAAATTAATTAAAATTGTTATAATTCTATTGAGACAACAAGCACTATTTTTCATTACGAAAGAAGATGCATTTTGAAAGTACTAATCGAACCGAAGTTGGCGATAATCAAGATGGGAAAAGCATCGCGTAAGCGACGAGCCGATTCCGGAATATTACTTTCGCTCGGGTTAATTTTCTAATTCTGTCCATGCAGCACCGAAGAAAAAGTGCGATGCAGCGTAAACTTGAATTCAGGCTATAAAACCCGTGAAAAGCGTTAAAAAGCAAATTTTCTCTACGAAAAAAAGCTTGGCGCTCTGCTGCCTGGTGCGCGCGCGTATAGCCCATAAAAATTCCCTGAGAAAAACAGCATAGCGTTTCTATTTATTCCACGGGTAGCGCGTAGAGCTTTATGGGCGTTAGCGCGAGAAGGAGGCAGAGGTGAGGGAGACGGAAAGTAGCTGAGCGCTTTCCCGCAATACCGTACTACTGCTATTGCTGCACTGCAAGGTACATTTATGTACCCCTTTTTTCATCCGATCGGTAACAGAAAGTCAGGGAAGCTAGACGTTCTATCTGTATAAAGTAGAGGAGAGAAATGCTCACTTTCTTATCAGTCTGCACGTCCGAGGAATGGGTGCTCGTAAAGGGGAAATAATCGTAAAAACGTATTTTATTAATAGAAACTTTAGTTTGTATAGGTATGTATATATATGGTGAAGAGTTGTGCGCGAAGCGAGTCCAGAAGTTCACACATGTACATATACTTGGAGTTTGCTTCTCAACATGCAGGTATATTATACGCTAGGATGCCAGAGACGGAGCTTTTTTCGTGGCCGCCTTCGAGAATAAGTATCCCTCTTCATTAGTGTACCCAAGCCATCAGCATCGTTTATTTTTGTTTTTTGTTCTAGCTGAGACGAGATTCATGTGGCTCTTATATATGGTAAATTCTTCGAAAAATGGATTGATTCAAAACATTACTTTTCAGAAATGAACAAATTTTTTTTACTTCACCAGCATCCTTATATTTCATTAAAATTTGTATCGAGGTGGAGCTGGATTTTAAGTTTCAGGTTCCCATGCATAGTAACAATGACTCAAAGTACTGACACTTTGTTTTAACAACTTTTTTGTTGCAAATTAAAACAATTTTCGTGAAAAGGTGTTGAATCCTTTTTTAAAGTCACCTGTAGCTTATTAGGTGCAACCTTTTTTCGTTTTAACAAAATAACTACTAACTAGGCTTCTGAAAATTTACCAAAATAACTTGTTGGGCCTATTTAGCAGAGACTCGACCGTATGTATTGTATATAGTAGCTTGGGTATAGTGGAAGGGACAAGGTGCGTAAGTCGCAGTTTCACACGAGCAGCAGCAGCAGCAGCAGCGCATCGCGTTGACATCGGCTGCGCCTGCAAGCTCGCGATACTAGGCGCGCTCCACGTGTACGGTGTATTGTATGTGCAGCAGCACACAGTGCAGCCGTTAGCTCTTTTTTACTTTTCGAAATGCGAGTTGTGGTGATGAGGATATATGCACTTGCCGAGCGCCGAACCGTAACTTTGTTTCCGTACTTTTGGAAGTTAAGTTTTCCTGCGCCGTACGTACAGTCTGCAGCCAGTGCAGCGTACACCACCGTGCCGCTAGTCTCTGCGACTCTCTTGGCCCGTGTACATGTGTAGCCAGGCCAAATGTATGTGTGAGCAGCAGTACGCGTGTATATTTATGATTCGTGGCTTGCACGACTGTCGTTGGCGCCTGTTCCCCGACAATGTCGTACCCAAGTTCTGCACCGAAAATTCGCCACGCTCAACTTGAGCAAAACGACAGAGAAAGAGAAAGAGACTTTTCGAGTTTTTTTCACATTTCTTTACCTCGCTGTTTTTTGACTTTGCTCGTGGCCATTCGATCGAACCGAACAAAAGAAAAAATGTCCCGGCTCAAGGGCCAATCAACTTGCAGTGCATTTATTTGCAAGCTTTCGCTTCGAATAAATCAAGAAAAAGTGTAGACGAGGCAAAAGTTACATTTCGAGCATAAAAATAAAATAAAAAAGCTTCTTCTTAATTTAATCGTCTCGGAAATATAGATACATGGACATTTCTGTCGGATACAGCACAGTTATCCATTCAGCTCTTATTCTTTGCGACAATTTGTCCTTTCTCGATCTTTTTTGTATAGATGATGGTCATGCACAGTAGCAATTTCGTGTGGCGAACGCAACCAGCGCAGAAATGTTCGGTCGAATAACTCGACAAGATACTTGATAAAATTACGCATTCGGCTGCTGAAAATTCAAAATTCTACAGCAATATCTTCAGCCAGTAGTTGTATTATTAATAATTGCTTACATTAAACGATTTGCTCGTAAGCTCGGGTAAGCGATTCCGTTGACCGACGAAAGCTTTTCTGCTTGTTTTATCGGTTCTGAATTCTCTAGTTACTTTCCATCCTGCAAACGATTTTTCTTACTTTTCTTGCTTATACTACTAAAAATTTCATAAATGAGTAATGTTAAACATGTATGATGCATCTATATAGGTTAAGAACTTTGGCACGATCACAGCAGTAAGCGAGGCAGCGGCACATCCACTGTACCAACGTCATCATCTTCATCGTCGTCGTTTTTGTTGTGGCATAAATGAGTTTTTATGATCGGGTTGTAAAAAAAAATTTGCTCGTTAAAGCTCGCGTTATGGCGCATGGGTAAAGAGCTGCAGTAGTTCGTGCCTGCGCGTATTCGCGAGCCTGAATAGAAAAACAACGCGCAACGAGCGTACGATTTTCAGTCAAAATATCAGTTAGCGCGTCAGCTATCAATATCACACAGTGTTTCCAGGCTTTCATCAATTCGTAAAATCAAAACGAGAGAATAGACATTTCGCTCAGTAGTGGTTTGTGTTGAGCTGCTTTCTCCCAGGATCATTTTCATACCACCGATGATCAATGTTATACTGGCTTCTTCGTAAAACGTCGTAAAACGTTAATTTGAGAACCACGTAGCATTAACGTCTTACTCTAATGTTCTTTGCTGCGCTGAACCGAGCCATCTAAGATACGATAATATTACTCTCTCTCTCTCTATCTCTCTCACCTAAGCCATTATAACAGCTCACATATTGCGCGCCTCGTTTCACGATGGCTTTCTTGTGACAGCTTATATCATGGCTCGTTATACACAACGTTGGTGCAGTATAAGCGGCACAGCATAATTACTGATGCGTAAAACTTGTCTCGTGGCCATGTAATTGGCCTATTTTTAATAGTTTGATACTGGTTCGATATCGCAAGCTCTAGCTTAGACGCACGATTGATAGAGCTCAAGCGTTGAGAGCGAGCAACTGACGAGCTTTGCGACGTCGAGAAAAAATCTCTTTTACTCGGCAATTCCACCTGCCCTGCGCGCGTGTAATATTTTACCCTCGTAATTTTTTTTTTGTGTAATACGCGTGACGCGCAATTTGCGAATCGCTACGGCTCTTACCGAGCTCGCCCAGGAGAGAAACCCCTAGTGCCCCTAATAAATGCCAGGCCGCGGCTCCGCAAAAAAATGATGTATTTCGAATGATTTATCTAGGCTCGCAGTGTGGTTGTAAATAATACCCTTCGCGTTCGTTTGGAATTTCCTCGGCTGGCTGGGAAGCACAGCCGAATATATAAGGCCATTTAACGATTTCATTAATTTTGTTTATATGCCTTTGACGAACGATTTGTCGCTTGATATAATTACATTTTCACATGTACAATATATAGAGATGCCGCTAGGAAGGTTAGCTGCTCGTTGAAATACGTTTTATGGATTAAACGAGCCAGTGGAAAAAAATTATATCTCTATTACAAGTTGCATACTTTTCAATTCCTTCGATTTTATCTAAAAGGAAATAATAATTTCGTCGTTGCCTTGCGGTACGATACTTAACTTACTTAGGTCTAAGTGAAAATTATTTTCCGAGCAAATTTTCTCTCGTAATTATGATCCATCGTTCAAATAAATTATTGATAAGAAAAATTGATGCGAAATGTAATAGCAAAAGCTTGACAGTGGAAAAGAACGTAGAGTATTTTTTGCCACTTGTGGGAGGATATAAACTTCGTTTACCGCTACTTTAGCCTCTTTGAACACTTCGTCTTGGCTTGTACTTATAAAGCTCGCAAGCGTTCGAACGAGCTACATTTTTCTCTGCATACTTTTCTCTTCAACATCATGTATAGTGCGGTATAATCGCAAACGCCGATAAACTAATTTGACCCTGATAACTTTGCGGCTATGAAAGGACGATGAATACAGATATGTATGCGTGTATGTAACCGCATGTGTGAGTATGTATTTAAGCGATGGTGACCTCTTTCCATTCTTCCCCTTCGTCAACATCGGCTTATTTCGGATCGACACCGAGAGCTCACCCGCATCTATACTTTTTTCAGATCAAATAGACAAATCGTCAACACATAAAAAGAGATTTCATTTTTCCTCGGTATAATTTTTCAAAAAAAAAAACTTTATTGATCAAGATTAACATACAATCAACAAAAAAGTAAACAAAAACTTAATAACTCGCACATGAAAACTAGTGGAAAATCAGAGTTAGAGACCAAAAAAAAAGCTCACAGACACGAACAAAATCCAGCGGATAGAAATTTTTTCGCTCCACCTCTCAGACTCGAAGTATCATCGTTTTTCATTCCGATGGAACCGCTTATTATTTTCGATTCGTTTCTTTGGTCGTGGTAGGATACGAAATGGTTATTATTGTTATTTATGGTAGATTCTATGTTGTACAGACGATCGGTCTGCTCAACAGAACTTTCATCCAAACCGACGGTGCTAGGGTAGATGTAGTAAATCGTATTCTCGTATTCTAACTTGACACTTCTAGGCAATTTTTTAGCATCCCTCCGATCGATGTAAGTCTTCCGCGTGGAGCTCAGCACGTGCGAATATTCCTTATTGACGACGGGAGCTCGCAGGATGCTTATGGGAGCGCAAATCTTTGTTCCGAGTTTATCCAACAAGGCTTCCAGGACGTAATTTGGAATTGTAGGAGCTACATTGGATATCAAAATTGGTTGCTTTCTCTTGACCAGTGCTTCTATGGGAACCATCGATTTGCCTATACTAATACACTTTTGGTTATCGACAATTTCATCCACCAGTTCGGGCTTGCTCAGGTACACGCAGACCCGATTGTTCGAGATTCGCGAGGAAAATAAAACGTTTGCAGGTGCCACCATCTCTCCTATGGCAGTGACGTAATCGGTAAATGACAGGCCGTCGACACAGTGCAAAATCAAAGCTTGCTCTTTGCTTGGAACCGCCTCTTCACGGGAATCCACAAAGGTCGACGATGTGCTGATTTTTTTTTTGGATTTACCTCGATTTGTCTCGTTGAACGAAAAATTGATTCGTTTGCTGCTTCGAAATGTCTGATTGTAATCTTTCTGAGGGCTCATGATGACACACGTTGGCAGTTCGTGATTGTAACTGTGGCTTGCTCAAAAGTTTGTAAACACACACGGCTAATTTCTGTGACAATTATAATATCTATAAATTACGAATTTATATGAAATAATTGCTCATTTTCAAAAAAGTGAATATACCAGATGACCCATTATTAATTGTACTTATTTCGTCCAATGGGTGATTGTTTCCTACCGTAACTTATTTAAATACTACATGATAATTTTTCTATTGAATTTCACATTCTATCTCCTCCATTACCAACTGTTGTTATTATACATAGTCAATAAATATTGATCAAGAACGTAATATGTGTCAATGATAATTCAAAAAGAAAAAAGGGTGCACAGTCTTGAATAACTCAAGTAGAAATTTGGAGTATTCTGGTTATCTGGTGAAAACTTTTATTTCACACCAACTTTGATCTTCCTCTCAAGCTTCAGATAGAAGTAATACATTGATTTAATTATTCAAACTAACCTATAATAATGAAATTAAAACTCATCTGAGCAAACTATAAAAACGAAACGATTTAATGAAGAAAAGCAACATTAGTTTAGAGAAAAGTGACGATGAAGCTCGATGGCATTTTTGTATAAGGGTCCATGTGAACAAGCACGGAAGCTCTATTAGCCAGTCAGAACGCGGAGGCCGCGTGTGCATCGACAATAATATTTCGAGATAGTAAAAATGTTGTTGGTCAGTATGGCAAAAATGCTCGATTTAAATAACGACGGCCCTCGATGACTGCCTTCGTGTCATTACACACGTCCGTTCGGGATATGCACGTGCTACAGCACGTAACGTACGGTATACTTTCGATCCGCGATAGAAATAGAATCGCGACATTCGCAGCTGTCGGTGGCTCTGCTGCCGCTCGTCGATTCGTATAATAATCCAATTGAATCTAATTGCGACTATCCGCTTACTCATCCTGGCGCAGGCTCACGTAACAATTCTCTAGGATAAACCATATAGTTGTGCGACCGACTTGATGAGAAAAAAATCCAATGGGCTTTTTTTAGCAATTCGACGAGAAAATGAGCTCGTGATTCTGGTTGCTGCAGTCCGATTCGTGAAAATTGAAATTGTGCGTGGCTTTTTTCTTTAGCCCCGCATAGAGAGGTGCAGGCGCATCTCGTCTCGGGCCGTTGCATAGAGTCACGTAAAAAATCCCCTAGCCCCGTGGCGACGCAACGAAGAAAAAAATCGAGACACGCTGCGTCGATAAATCATCAATAAATTTCGAAATCTCGCGCACAAAGTTGTTTTCCCTTGATATCTATATACATTCTGATTCTGACTGTTGCTACTACGGACGCTATATTTACGGCGTTATTCATTTTTCTCTTGCTCTGCGAGTTTTCTACTCACGCTCGATAATAAAAAAAAATTTCCACTCACCGCATGCGTGCACACGTGGAGGGTACAGGAGAGAGAGAAAGAGAGAAAGAGAAAAGTGTAGGATATGAGCTTCGAATTTCACAGCCTCGGCACGCAAGTTATAAAATGCAGAAATATCCGATTCCCGCGCGAACATTGCTATACGTGCATAGAGTTAATAATGTATAACGCAAGACAGTCTATGCTTGTGGCCCGAAAGGGGAAAAATCCAAGTTCAATGAACTACCAATGTCAAACTCGACGCGTTCGATAAATAAAAAGGTAGACGTCGATTAGAACTTTTTTTTCTCCTGGCTGTAGTCTAGCTGTAGCACATTACGTAGCCAAGGAAAATTTCGCGATTTAAAGTCAAGGACAGACTCGCAGCAACATTGACATTTAGCAATGCGATTTAACACTGGCTATGTTCCAGCATATTCCGCTAGCACAGCTACGTCGCGCGCTCAAGATTAGAATCGACTTAGCTCTCGAGCGCAGAATATAAGGCGCTCAATGGCCGTTGCTCGCTTGGAAAGCTACACGCGACTTGGCGTTCGGTCGTATTTGTTTACACTCGGCCGGCGACTCTTATATTAAAGCGCCTTAGACAACATATTATTTTATGCAATAACCGCTACGAGGGTAGGGTCTACCTGCCTACATCAACCGCCGATCACATTCAAACAATCGGTATTTTTAGATGCTCACTCGAGGAAGCAGTGGTACATATCGAGCGCGCATACGTATACGCTTGGCGGCGAGAAGTGGGAAGGTCTTCATGTCTGATGGCGTGAGTTTCTGCGTGTGGACTGCATCTGAGCGCGTGGCTTTGATATTCAGCGAGGTAACTAGTTATTTTTCAGAAACAATTATTTTCTTACTCAAAGCCTATAGCACTTTATCCCTGACATCTTTACGACCGTATTTTATACTCAACTCAGCTTCTCCTCGTTGTACTCAAATTAATCTGCCACAAAAGTCCAAAAAAATTGTTGAAATATAATACTGCTCTCGCCAGCTTTTTATATCGAAATAAAATTATGTGCATCGAATATGCGTATACATAAAGATATCAATAGGATTAGTTTTTATGATTTATCGTAAAAAAATGCCCTGATCCATAAGTAATAACGGATATTTGAGAAACGTAATGGTCCAAAACATATTTTTTAATATTTATTCGACTGTGTTCAAAAATTTATTCAATCGCTTGGAATGTGGAAAGGTGGGTTCGACAATGAATGAAAAATTCAGTTTAATGATAAACCGAAGTTTTATTTTGTAACTCCATCAATGCCTGTGTGTTTTAGTGTGTGTATAAATCTACGTTTGATTGATTAATACATGTGGGCATGCGTATACGTGTGTGTTTGGTACATAATTCTTATTAATTTTTACATCGTTTTTATATTTAAAAGTCCTAATCAATGATGATTTAAGCTTTACTAACTAAATATTCTTATTCTAGAATTGCTTTCTAATAGAGACTTATTAAATATCATATGATTCATGGTCGATGTACTATTGTAACTTGTATCGACTTCGTATTTTTAATATACATCATTTAAGCCCTCTTAAACATTCGCCAATTGTCGATCGACTTTGGAGCTTGTGATTTTTACTTACAACCTATTTTGTATAAAAATATAAAAATAAATTTCACCCCATACGAAATTTTTTATTGTTTACATTATTATTTTTCATTCGCACATTTACATTCATCAAATGTACATTAATAATAGCTGCTAGTTCACATCATTTTTCTGTCTTTCATATACATGGGCTAAACTGGAGTTATTTTTGAACTTTTATTTTTGAACTCTAATGCTATATTTTCATATTTAAGGGGTTTCGAGGTTAAAACCATGATTTTTCATAACAAACATGATTTCGGTCGAACTTTTCATCAAATTTCACATAAAAAATCATGATTTAACCTTTTTTTCACATTCACCCCACAAAAGCATAACGAAATTTGAAAAATGAAAATCCAACATTGGGTCTCTGTCAATCCATAAAGGCTGGACCTAGTGGACTAGAAATTTTTAGGATTTTCATTTTTTAATCTTCTCTGTAAGATTACATACTTTGTTTGAATTTTTGGCGTATCACACTAACTTTGCTATAGCCCTTACATATATACACGTATATACTTATATTATCTGAAATATCAGCATAATAGCCTACATTCGTAATTGTCAAAATTTACTAACCAGTAGGAATCGTCGGAGTCTTGCTCTATTTTGTAAATATACATATATAGTTTATATACGCAATCTTATTTAATATATATGCACGTAAGTGTGTGTGTGTGTATGTGTGTGTGCGTGTTTACAGTGTAAGTAGTTACTAGTAAGTAGTATATACATAGGATAGTCGTTGAGTTGAAGTTATTAAGAGTCAAATGTGTTGTCAATAAATCTTGAGCATCTTATTTGCATGGTTGACTCTGTAAGAGGTGTAGTGTGGCACCGAAAGGGCGCATTTCATCATATATTATACTTACTCCTTGCTTGAGTAATTAATGTAGATCGTTAATTCGAACGATCAGAACCACGAATATTCAGAGACAAAAAACGATCACCTTACAGCTTACTTCTCACTGTTCCTCCTGTATTCGTCATATTGTTTTTTCGTGTCGAACAGAACACATTGGTTAGGAGACATAAATTTTTCCTAAGTTCGAGAAAATTTTTCATTAAATTTATATCATAATGAGGCACCGTGAGGGTCGTGTGCGAAGCAGATCAAGGAGTAGGAGTCGCACTTATAGGAGTTCGAGCCGGGCGAGTTCAAGAAGTATCAGCCATCGCGGACGTCGCAGTCGCGACAGCCGTTATGATTATTACGATAGGCGCAGTAGAAGCTACGATAGACATCGTCGTAGTCGTCATCGGAGTTCACGGAGATCAAGTTCTCGTAGAACACGCTATCGCACTCGTTCTCGAAGCGTAAGTTTTCGTTCTAGGCGTGGAGAAGGTGAGCATCGACAAGATCGTATCCGAGAAGAAGACGAGAGTAGCGAGAATAGCCGCCTCAGACGTTCACGTTCTTCGAGTTCTGAGTCGAGACATACTCCTCCAAGGACGCCTTTACATGTTGCGGCTATAGGAACGAATGATGTTGATCAATTTAATGCTAACTCTGATATAATGAACAATGAAGCTCACACAGGAGGTGAGATATATATTGTATCAAAACATAACCTGTCGAG